TACACAAAATTTGTACATGAATGTTCATAGCAACATTATTCGTAATAGCCAAAATGTGGAAACAACCCAATGTCCACACAATGCAATATTACTCATCAACAAAAAGAAATGAAGTACTGCCACATGCTACAACACGGATGAACCCTGAAAACCTGCTAAGTGGAAGAAACCAGACACAAAAGGCCACATATTGTATGATTCCATTTATACGAAATGTCCAGAAGAGGAAAATCTATACAGACAGAAAGCAAATTACTGGTTGCCAAGGGCTTGGAGCAGGGGGTGGGGTAGAGTATGAGAGGACTTGGGGATTGATGCTTAAGGAGTGTGGGTGTTTCTTTTCAGGATAATGAAAATATTCTAAACTTGTGGTGACGGACACAACTCTGTGAATAACCAAAAGCCACTGAAGTGTGCATTTTAAATGGGTGAATTGTCACATATGTGAATTATATCTCAATAAAGTGTTTTTCTTAAGTTCTTTATGTACTGATATGAAATGATCTCCAGGATACATATTAAGTAAAAAAAGCAAAGTGTAAAACTATCATATATTCTACCATCTGAGTGAGAAAATATAGTTATGTTTATAAATGAAATGTTTCTGGAAGGACACATAAAACCCCAGTAACACTGGTTGCTCCTGGAGAGGGGAACTGGACGACTGAGGCATCTAGAGTAGGAGAGAGAATTGGTTTTTTTTAACTGGTAATAAATACCAAGAAAGTATTAAAACTTTGAACACAATGAACACCTGTGTGCCCACCACCCAACTTTAAAAACCACTACCATACAGTTGGACCTCATGTGCACCCCTCCAGTCACATCCCATCCCACCCCTGAACTGATCTGCTGTCCTACATTTGGAGTTTATCATTCCCACGCATTTTATACTTTCGTTACACTCTAAGTATGTATAACCAATATGCATTATTTTGCTTTTATTGTTGTTGGCCACGCGGCTTGCGGGATCTGTTCCCCGACCAGGGGCTGAACCTGGGCCACGGCAGTGAAAGCCCAAAATCCTAACCACTAGGCCACCAGGGAACTCCCTATTTTGCATATTTTAAAACTACACATATTCTTCTGTAATTTGCTTTTATCACCCAATGTTTCGCTTTATTCATATTGATATGTACAACTTTAGTTCATTTTCATTGAAGTGTAATATTCCACATCCAATACATAATGTAATACATCCAGTATTGATGTACTGGATTGGCCCAAAAGTTCGTTCAGGGTTTTCCTTGTCATCTTACCAAAACCCGAATGAATTTTTTGGCCAACCCTATATAATTTTCCAAGGTGGCCACAACATGATCTCTCATCCCATATGCTCTTCTTACAATGAGACACTGACATTCCTGTCACTGAGAAGTAAGGCCTATGGTCCCTCTTGAATCTAGGTGGGCTAGTGACTATGGCAGAAGTGAAGCAATGTGAGTGACTTCCAATGCTAGGTTAGAAAAGGCAATACAGTTTTCCCTGAGTCTCTTGAGAAGCTTGCTCTTTGAACCCAGCTGCCATGTTGTAACGAAGCCCAGGCCACATGCAGGCATTCTGGCTGATAGCCCACACTCAGGTTTTATCTAAGTGCCAGTATTGGTTAACCACCAGACAACTGGGGAAGCTTTCAAGAGGACGCCAGCCCCAGCCAAGATCTTACAGCAAGCGCATGAGAGCGCCCAAGTTACAACAGTCTAATTGCGCAAGTCAGCACCCAGAGCCGTAAGAGATACTGATTATTGATCTGAGCCACTAAGTATTGAGGTGATTCACTATGCATTAGATAATTAGAACATCTGTGTCACAATCTGCCCATTCTCCAGCAGATGGATATTTGGGTTGTTTCCAAGTTTTTTATGGCATTACAACAGTGATCTTATGAACATTCTGATACATGTCCTGTGTGCATGTGTAAGCTCCTCCAGAAGGGTAGTTACTGGGTTGGAGAATATGTCATCTTCAATTACACTACAACCTATCAAACTATTTTCCAAAATGGTTGATACCAACTTACATTCCAACAGCAGTACAGATGCTCCTATTACTCCAAATCTTCCCCAACACTTGAGACTTTAATTTTTTTTGCTAGTCTTTTGCCCAGTAGGGCACAAAACAGTCTTACTGTATATATCCTTTTGTACCTTTGAATTTTGTGTTGTTTGCATGAATTAATGCAAAATAAACATTTAAATGTATGCTAATAAATTACTGCTTTTCTGTTTTAAGCATGTTTTATATATTGGGGTTCCCCCGTTACTTTTTTTCTTTTTTGGCCATACCACGTCTCTCATTATCCAGCAGGCTAGCCCAGGCTCATCTACACAGTGGTGGCTGCAGGGTTCCCAAAAGCAGCACAGGACGGCAGGCCCCAGTGCACAAAGCACCCCTTAAGCCCTATCAACTTAGCAAAACACTTATTTTATACTTCCTAGGTGGTGGTCCATATTAGCTCTTAGCATCCCCTGATCTGCTTCCTCCAGGGGTCTCCAATTAGAGGAGTCCAACTGCTCTTAATTCCTTTTTGGAATGGGGTGATATATGTATAAGTAAATCAACTGAAGAGTGCCAATAATCTTGGGGGAGAACCTCATTCAGTTCTGCTAGTGACCCAATAACAGTGTCTGCACTAAAGTGATATGATTGGAGTTCTTCAAATTCACCCCTGAATCGACCCCACCTTTCTCCATTGCAGCACTACTTGTAATAACAAGGAACTGGAAACAACCTGAATTCCCTTCCAAAAAGGATTGGGTAAGTAAGCTAGGCCGTTAATGTGCGTGTGTGCTCGACTGTGTGTTCCTCTTGTATGTATGTGTGAATGTATGTGTGTGTGTGTACACGCGCACGCACACACATCTCTGGAAGGCTTATCCAAGACACTGGTAACACTAGTGGCCTCTGAGGAGTGGACTGGGGAGCTAGGAGACTTGGGAAGAGACTTTTCACCATGAAGCCCTTTGTATCTTGGCATTTTGCACCATGTGTATGTATTATTTATGCTCAAATACGTTTCACAGAACCAGAGAAAAAATAACGCACCCCTGTGGGCCACAGCTGTTTGGGCTGGTTTGGAGGAAACGCCATATCAAATGAGTGGGACACTGGCACTCTGGAGCGGCTGGCTAGGAGGCCAAGGAGGTGTCCAGCTCCACCCTGTCTGGCAGCCGGTGACAGGATGGGCATGGCCCTCAAGGCCCGAGGTCTCCCAGAGCTGCAAATGCTCCCTAGGGTAAGTTGGTGGGGGCGGGGTAACATGTACACACAGACAACTATAGCAAGTCCAAAACCACTCTCCTATGACCCTACCCTCCCCTTTCCAAAAGGGCCTTGTCTCAAATCTGCAGTTGAGGCAGCACAGGGCAGGGGCTAAAGGGCGAGGCTCCTGGCCACCTCCCTGATGGCAAGCCCAGGGCTGCCACTTCCCAGCTGGTGAGGCCTTCAGCAGTTCGTTCCCCTCTGCGCCTCTGGAAGGAGGCAAGAGTGACTCGACTAACCTCATCAGCTTTTCGTGAGAAGTGAGCTATACATGCTTTTATATCATTTCAGTTCCTATTACACATCAAGAAATCACCCCGTGCTCTTAAATTTAGTAACTGGAACTCTTCCAGTTAACCCTGGCAGTTGCTAAAATTATCCATGAAGTGGAACTCAAGGAAATTACTGGTGGCGGGCGGAGGGGGGGCGGGGGGGGCGGTAAAAAGAAGAGTTGAAGATCAGCAAGAAACCTGTGTATATGTGTGAGCGCCCCCTTGTGGCCCTGACAGAAAAGGGCGGCCTCTGGAATCTTCTTGACATTGCTGTCCTTTGCCGTCCTTCTGAGGTCCAGAAGGTCCACGAGGGTCTGGCCTGGGCCTCACCAGGAAAGGGGTCTATGGGTCCTCCCTCTACCACTCTACCACTGCCCCTCATACTGAAGTCCGGCTCCTCACACCACAGGCCCAGTGCTTGGGATGCCGCCTGACACACAGTAGCCTCCCCAAATGACATTACTAAAAACCTAAAAATAAGTGGATGATCACTTACGAAGACAAAAACAGGTCTGGAGATGGATAATGGTAGTGGTTATACGACAATATGAAGGTACTTAATGCCACTGAACAGTACGCTGAAAAACGGTTCAAACGGTAAGTTCTGTGTTATGTATATCTTACCACAATGAAAACAAACAAAAAAAAATGGATGAGTTCTAATCTCAGCTTTACCTGCAGTGAGTTCTCCTCCAAACCCCTTGCCCACTCCTTGGTAATCTCCTTATCAGATCCTGTTCTCTACATGGGAAAAGGGCTCCAACTCCCTTCTGGGTCCCCTCCTCTCTCTATACCCTTTTCCAGCTGGTATCGCCAGGCCCTCGGCTTTGAACACGGCTGTACTCTGAGCACCCCCCAAGCTGTTGCCCCAGCAGCCTGCTCACCTCTCAGTCAACGCCTGACAGCTGAGCGCCCTCCCGCCCCAGCCGGCTCCACAAACAGCACCTTCCTCTAGATGCTCAAGTCCTCCATCTAGGTGTGATCCAGCCCCTCCCCTTGCCCCAATTTCCAATCCACCCGTGTGGAGAGTCCTGCTGCCCCTTCCGAAGCGCACCCAAGGTCCACCCACTGCCTCCCCCACCCACCGTCTCTCCCCACGCTGCCTCCCCGCCTCCGCCCCTGCCCTGCCGGCAACTTGTCCTCCTCACGGTGGCCCAAGCAATCTTCGTAAAAGGCAACTCAGATCATCACTTGCCTGCTTTAAACCCTCCCAGACTCCTCAGCACTCTTGGGAGGACGTCCAAATGCCTCCGGCCCCTCACTCACCTGCCAGCCACGCTGGTGTTCTCCGTGTTCACTGTCCCGCCTCAGAGCTGTGGCCCTGGCTGTTTCCTCTGCCTGAACTGCACACAGGCCACCCTACAGGTCACCTCCTCTGAAAGGCCTTCTTGCCCCAAACATCTAAGAGGCCCTGCAGTCACCCTTCCAATTCTTTGGGCACCCCCTGACCAGTACACTTAAAAATGGTTCAAATGGCAAATTGTGGTTTACTGATTACCGCCTGTCTCCCTGGCTAGAGAGGTCGGCCACGCGGGAAGAGACTTGTCTGCCTTGCTCGTGGATGGATCCCCAGCTCCTAGAACAGGCCTGGCACAGAGCAGGTGCTGTGCAGTGGTGAGTAGGTAAACGGTCAAATCCACAGGCACCCACACAAATGAAGCCTGCAGTCTGGAAAGCCATCCACAGGCAGAGTGGCAGAAACAGGGGAAATCTGTGGAAGGGGAGGGCAGAGGGACAGAAGCCCTGCGCGTTGCCGAGGGGAGGAGGAGGCCCAACTAGATGATGACCATGACCGTGACTCCCTTCACCTCGGGGCCTGCAGCAAAAACACGGCCCACCTATATATGTGGGGAGCTTGACCCTCAGAGACGAGGCCCAACCCTTCGTGGGTGCCCCGCCCACACTGTGCTTCATGCAGAAAAACAGTCCTGCGACTCGCCCTGAAGCAGGGGAGGGAAACAGTCTGAAAGTCACAAAAATATATTAAAATAGCTGTTTTCTCCTCTCGGTGCTGGCTTCCCTTCTTAGTGCCCCTTACCCGCCACCCGCCACCGACTTTCAGGGAAAAAGATGCCCAGGCAGGTGCCCCAGCTGCAGCCTGGGGTCTGGGGAGGTCCCTCCAGCCTAGGAGTGACGGCGGCTAACAGTCTCTACAGGCTCGACGCCACCGCCGCCGACGAGGGGGCCGCTGGGAGGACGGAGGTGCAGGAGGGTCAGGCAGGACGCAGCGGACAGTCGGGCCTTGCCACAGGGACAGAAAACAGAAAAGAAATGAACAGAGTGAAGAGACGGAGAGAGAGGAGTCAAAGCATCGGGGGGAGGGGGCAGAGGAGGGAGGGAAGTGAGGAAGCCAGGGGGTGGGGGATACGGGAGCCCCTTCAGACGACACCCACCCTGGGGGACAGGGAGGCCCGGAGCCGGGGTTTGAGGCAGCAGATGGGGAATGGAGGACAGGAAAAGGGCACTTGGCACTTGGAGAGGCAGAAAAGTGTGTCCTGCCAAGGCCACGGTCAGAGAGGAGAGAACAGAGGACGCGAGAGAAGGGAAAGTCCCAGAGCGGCAAGGCCGGGCCTCAATGACCGTCTCAGACTCAGAAACACCGGGCGAATCCCCAGGAAGCTCAGGCTGGCGGAATGCCTGAGGGAGACAAGCAGTGTCACCCGGCAGCCGGCAGGGGGCGTGCGCGCGCCCTCGCTGAAGACTCTGATGGAGCCTGGAGGCTGGAGAGGGGCCTGCGCCCCGCCCTTGGGCTAGAAGGTCCTGCGGCCCAGTCTTTTGAACACGCTCACAGTGCCCGCGTGGTCCATCTGGGCACCAAGGCCCTCGCTGGAGCTGCTCCCCCGGGGCCCCACCAGAGTCCTCTTAATGGTGACCTTGACCTCAGCCGAGGACTTACTCTTGGTGCTCGTGACCTGGCTGTCCTGGGCCTCCGGCACGAGGGCAGCCTTGCCCAGTCTCTGGATGATGCTGACTTTGGATAGGGACTCCGGCTTCCTCTCGAGCCCAGGTCGTGAGGAAAATGCCAGGCGCCGCAGCGTTGGGGCAGCGGCCGTTGCCACCGAGCTTGTGGCCTTGGCTTTGACAGTTAGTGCGGGCTGGGGACTGGCTTTGGCTGGGGCCCGGCCTAGCTTCTTCAGGACCCCGGCATACTGCAGGACAGAGCTGCTGCTGTCGTTGTCACTGTCCCAAGCCAGATCCTCGTCGGTCTCTGGGGTGGCCCCCAGGCGGCTGAAGACCCCTGTGGGCTGTGGAGGTCAGAGACAGGACAAGTGAGTCACTTAGTCGCTCAACATGCATTCACAGAGAGCTGCCTCATCTGTGCCTACGTCATGGGGCTCACAGTCAGGAAAAACACCCATCGGTGATGCACTAGACAGTGATCAGAGTCATGAGAGGGCAAGCCCAGGGAGCTGGAGGAGGCCAGGAGAGGAAGGCTCCCTGGAGAGGGACATCAGAGATGAGATCTGAAAGCCGAGTGGAAGTGAGTCGAATAAAGAGGGAGCGGGAGGGGAGGAGAAAGGGAAGACCATTTGCAAAGGTCTACAGGCGAACGTGAGAGAAAAGGCAAATTTGGTCATTCGCTCCACAGACATTCTCTGAGTCCCAGGTCAATACCTGGCCCTGTGTTGGGCAGTGCTGGGGACCCAGTGGTGACCAAGACAGGCCTGGTCCTGCTCTCAGGGGGCTCACAGTCCAGTGGGGAAAACAGACCCAGCATCGGATACAGCACAAGTAATTCTCTAATCACGAGAGGGAATTCCCTGGAGGTTCAGTGGTTAGGACTCCGCGCTCTCACTGCCAAGGGCCCAGGCTCAATCCCTGGGAATTAAGATCCCGTGAGCCTTAATTAGTGTTCTTGGGAGGAGGGGGGAGCGCTGGAGAGCAGGGTACAGGGAGGCCTCATCTCCTCTCAGAGTTCAGGACAGCCTTCTCTGAGGCATCAACGTTTAAGAGAGTAAAGAGTGCCGTCTAAGTCCCCAAGACAGGAATAAGAATCGTATTTACGGCACACTCACTACGTGCGAAGCTCTTTCCATGGCTGCACCTTCAAGCCACGTGATCCTGAGTGCTATTATCACACTCATGATAAGATTTAGGCAGTGAGAAAAAGCCAGAGTGGGTGAGCCCTGGTGAGCAAGGAACAAAAGGCAGCTGGAGAGCTCCACCAGAGTTACTGAAAGGTGCCACTTAAAGATGCTCACCAGGGCTTCCCTGGTGGCGCAGTGGTTAGGAATCCACCTGCCAACGCAGGGGACACGGGTTCGAGCCCTGGTCCGGGGACATCCCACGTGCCGCGGAGCAACTAAGCCCGTGCGCCACAGCTACTGAGCCTGCGCTCTAGAGCCTGCGAGTCACAACTACTGAGCCCCCGTGCCACAACTACTGAAGCCCACGCGCCTAGAGCCCATGCTCGGCAACAAGAAGCCACCGCAGTGAGAAGCCCACGCACCACGACGAAGAGGAGCCCCCGCTCGCCGCAACTAGAGGAAGCCCGTGCGCAGCAACGAAGAACCAACGCAGCCAAAAATAATAAAATAAAATTTTAAAAATTTAAAAATAAATAAATAAAGATGCTCACCACTGCACCAGACAGCCCCCATGCTACGCAGCTATACCTCACTCAGTCCTCACGACCACGCTGTGAGGTACTATACGGAGGAGGAAACTGAGGTACAAAGGGCTTAAGTGACACAGTCAAGGCCATGCAGCCAGGCGGTGGCAGAGACGAATTTGTGCCAGGCGATGGGCTCAGGCTGCGTCTCCCAAGCACATGCCGTGGTTAGGCCTGCGGGACCGCAGGTGGAGGAAGAAGAGCGGGCTGCGCCTGAGCACGTGGTGAAAAGCCTCTGAAGGGTTTCCCGAGGGCGAGGGGGGAGGGCCTGTCCTGGAGGCAGCACGTGCTGCCGCTGTGGGCGAAGGGCTGGAGGGGTTCACAGGAGCTGTGCAGAGACCAGCTAGGAGGCCACTGCCCTACGCAGGCAGGGAGAGGTGGCAGACAGGTGGGGACAGATGGCCGCATCAGACTCAAGACTGCCTGGAGTGGGGACGGTGGGGCACCCGGGACAGGGCCCAGGGGACGTTTTGCTTTGGGGAAAGATGCTGAGGACAGTTTGGGGACATGGTGGGGGAGGGGTCCGAGGGCGGCATCCATGAGTTGCCAGACCCCCGGGGCTGGAAATCGGGAGAGAGGTCGGGATAGAAGACAGACAGGGAAGCCACCAGTGCAGAGAAGGGCACTGGGCCTGGAAAGGTGGGTGAGACAGGGTGAGATGTATGTGGGAAATGCCAGGAACAACACCCAGGGAAGATAAGAATTTCAGAGTCCCCAGTGGCTCCCCCATTTCCAACTCACTTTATTCCCCATCGTCGTGTCTGCCTTGGTCTCGGCGCCAAGGCGGTCAAACACAGACGTCCTGTGGAGACCTGGGAGGGAAGTGAGGCCATCAGCCAGCGCCTGCTGGGCGGCCCCTGTGGGCCCAGGCCTGGCTGAGCACCATGCAGACAGGGAGGGGTCGACACAGCCAGCCCAGACCCCAGGCAGCTCTGGTCCAAGCAGGCACCGACTGGGCCCAGTTAGGTTTTACGTCTATGTTGTCGGCTAACACTGACCTTAACCCACACACTTCTGGCTAGTGCCAAATGTGGGAAGGATCAACTAAAATGGACACTTCCGGTCCTCACACCTTAGTACCAATTCATGAAGTGTATATGCGGGAAGAGTTCTTAATCCCTTCTGGTTCCTTTCCCTATTTTTTGGGCCATGGGCCTCTCAGAGAACCTGATGAATGGTAATGCTCTCCCTAAGTTACAGCCTAAAGAGCCACTAACAGGAGAATGCTTACTAGATTACAGCATAGAAGTACTATGAAAATATTCAACGACCATTAAAAAGAATGAAGAAGACGAAAAGATCTTCAGTAAAAAAGTTACAGAACAATACATATAGGACAATGCTATTTGTGCTTAAAAAGAAAAAAATGCCTGGATATGTGTAAATGTACAAACAGATGCATTTACATTCACAGATGCTGGTCTGGAAAGGTTAACAACACGTGTGGGATATGGGAGTGAGGGGAGAGAGTTTGTTCTTACTGTACATGCTTCTGCATCCGCTGGATGCTTTTCCATGAGAACGTTTACAATATTCTAAATGGAACACTGTAAGGAAGACCACCTCTGTACCACCAGATTCAAATCCCACCTGTGGACTGAATCTCAACCAGACACCTCTGGCTTGTAACGACGGTTCCTACTGTTTTGGGCACCTGCCCTCAGCCAGGCACAGTCACTCACTTAACAGGCAGGCTAGCACTGAATCCGTGCCACGGTCCCTCGGGGAAGAGGCGCCAGCTGAGGCACCGAGGAGCCCTGCTATGCTAACTGCGGGACAAGAAGACAGAGGCAGTGATGCGTCCCCCTCTACCATGGCCACCATCACTGTCCCCTCGGTCCAAGGCCCCCTGGACCCCATCAGAGCCTGCTTCTGGGCCAATGCCTGTAGGACGCGACCAACCCTGCAAGATGCAGCAAAAGGGAAACACAGTCTGTGCCCCCCACTCCCCACCGGGGCCAGTACCTTTCGCTGCCTGCTGCTGCTCCAGGATCTTACGGGTCCGGGGGGTGGTGCCTTTGGGCATGGTGATAATGTACTTCCCCTCCATCTCGGCCGTGACCCGGCGCCGCTTGGTGGGACCAGTCAAGCTCTCCTCCTCCCGGCGGGCCATGGCTGCTGGGGGAGGAGGGGGTGGTGAGCATCTTCTGGGATGGAATGTTCTCCTGGAGTGGGGGCTGGACGCCCTGCAAAGGGCACACACGTGCCCTTTATCGCCATGCGTTCACGTGACTGGAATCCCTTATCCTCCCAGCCACCCCCAAGGCCACTGGCTGAACCACCGGGAAACTCAGGGGTCTGGGCACAGTGGGGTCGCAGAAGGCTGTGGCGGGCCTCCCAGGCTCTCTGTGGCTCTGGCCCTCTGGCCTCCAGCAGGCTTATCTCCCAGCCCAGCCAGAATCCCCTCAGATGGGGAAACTGCTGGGTGGTGGAAAAGCCATCTAGGTGGTGCTTTCACAGGTGTAATCACTTTTTAAAAATGAGTCAAGGTATATACTTACAATCTGTGCATCGCGCATAAGTAAATTACACCTCAATTTAAAAGAAAGACTCTCCTCAAATGTGTTGAGTTGAAGAGAGCCAGTCCCTCCCAGGCTCCCCATCTTTTCAATACTTTAGAAATGAATTTTAACTTTCTTGCTCATGGCATATAAATCGAAAGATCAGAAGGAGGATGAGGCACTTGCAGACACACGTGGTCAAAAGGGGGCACGTGTGATGGAGGTGTACGGGGCGTGATGGGGCTGGGGGCCAGGACAGCCAAGCCCCCACCCTGGGCCTCTGTTTCAACTTGGGCCAAGATCACTGCTGTGGGGATGGGTCCAACAAAGGCAGGAGAGCGTGATGGACAGGAGGGCCTGGAAGCCCAAAGGCCAGAGTCCCATTCCCAGCTTACCAGCTGAGACCTGGAAGAGGAACAGCGGCCAAGCATGGAAAAGTCTGTGGAAGAGGAAGGTCTGGGAGAAGGGAACATCAGGGCAAAGGCCCCACGACGGGAAGCAGCCTGGAGGGGAACCGAGGCAGCAAGCAAGATGTGAACCCACGTGTCGCAGGGCCCAGTAAGGCCATGGGGGAAGATGACCTTATTAGTGGAACAATGGGAAGCCCTGGAGAGTCCTAGACAAGGGTGTGAAAGGATCAGATTGAAGGTTTTAAAGGATCCCTCTGGCCGCTAAGAGGAAAGGTAGCTTCTTTACCTTTGACCCCAGGCATCAAGCACAGGGCCGGGCACCACTGCGGGGCTCAGTGACCATCTGTTAAAAAAGACTGAACCACCCATAGTCAACAATACTGTACTGTACACTTAAAATTTTGTGAAGAGGGTAGAGCTCACGTTAAGTGTTCTTACCACAATAAAATAAAAAGTACAAAAAGACTGAAACAGCCACCGCATGAGAACTGCAGTGCACCCACGCTTAAAGACACCATCTCGAGTGCTTCCAACCATCTTCTGGGGAGGGTGTCACCAGCCCCCTTCTACAGTGAGGCCCACAGAGGTGCAGTGATCTGACCAAGTCTGAACACTCTGGACACCTTGTAGCCTCCAAAGCACTCTGCAACGTTGGGAACATGTCCCCCAAATACCGTCTGCCAACCCACATTCGCCCCCAGCTCCTCCCACCACCTGCCTGAGTCCCCTCACCGGCAGCCTTGGCACTCCTTGCTGCCATCTTGTTGGACACAGTGACAGAGATCTTGGAGGTGCTGGTGTCCGGCCGCCTGGGGGGAGTGCCGGGTGGGGAGTCTCGGTTCAGGCTGTTGGTGATCATCCGGGAGGCGGCTGCCAGGAGGAAAGAGGAGAGTCCAGTGGGGCGGGGCCCTGGGAAGGGGGTCAGGATGGGGAAGGCAACCTTGGGACCGCAGCATGGGGAAAGGGCAGCCAGAGGCACCCTGTGGCTGCACTGTCAAGACGAGCATGCTTGGGGTGGGCCTGTCTTCCCAGGAACTAGCCCGCCCCTCCCTGCCCTGGGGGCCTTTCCTGAGGCCCCAGACCAGATGGGTTCCTAGCACACTTCACCTATCAGTTACCCAGCCCTGCACTGAGCATTTCCCTCCCCTCTCCCTCCACCACACTGGCCTCCAGGATCTTCCTCGCTCAGCAAGTACATGCCCGCTCAGGGCACTTGCTGTTCATAGGTCTGGCGTGCAGCTCCCCCAGTAGCAATGGGCTTGCTCTGTCTCTGCATTCAGGTCTCCTCTCAGACGGCATCTCCTCAGAGAATACTTCCCTGCCCTTATTACTGCTTGACATTAAAATTACATTTATTTGTTTACTGGTAGACTCTCCCACAAGCCTGTATTTATAATAATACAGAGAAGACACTGTCTGTTTATCGCTGTATCCCCAGTGCCAACCACAGTTTCTGGCACTTCACAGGTCTTCAGTAAACATCTACTGAAAAGATGAACATGGTCACCAAACCTCCCAACACCCCTACTAGACAGGCTCCACTGTAAACCAATTTTATAGATGACAAAACTGAGACTCGGGGAGTGGGGTCACTCAGCCAGGGTCCTGGGCAATGTGGGTCTGGCTCCAGTTGGGCTGGGGCAAGAAAAGAGGTGACCTCCCTCAGAGGTGGAAAGCAGTCTCTGGCCCCCCTGAATTCTGTGGAGCAGGAAAAGGGATGTCCCAGGGTGCAAGGTGGGCTACAGCGAGCAGACGGGAGGGCCAACTCCAGCGGGGGGAGGAGACGGACTGTGTCTCCAGGTGCAGCTGCTGCTAGCTTCAGGGTGCGGGTTTGCTGAGCTCTCGGGGAAGCCCTGCAGGGAGGGGAGAGGGGGAACCTTCACGCTACTACCGCTTGCTCAGCAGGCCCAGCACCAACGCCCCCCCCACAATGGCTTTCAGACTTTGATATTTTGTCCTACCTACCCCCAAAAAAGCCTTCTCTCTTTCTGCCATGTGCTGTCTCTCAAAGTCTCCTGAAGTCCCCCATAATGACCCTCAACACCTGATTATAATTCCATATTGCTTGGTTACTTTTTAAATTATAACTACAGCATAAAGAAAAAGACATCAAACCTACACAGATCGTTTAACATCAATTCCCATATACCCACCACCCGGGTCAGGAAGGGGAGCACTGCTTGCACCCAGAAGTCCGGGGATTGGCCCTTCCCAACAAGACCTTCTCCCTCCTCACCACCCAGGAAGAAATGGTCGGTTTTCAGGCCTGCTCACGGCTGTTGATGATTTGGCATACACCCTCCCGTGATCTTCCCAAGACATTTCTTCAGCCCGATAGGGGTGGCTTTCTTTCTTTTTTTTTTTGGCCTCGCCCAGGCCCCGGCAGTGAAATCGCTGAGTCCTAACCATTGGACCGCCAGGGAATTCCCAGGGGTGGCTCTCTGATGAGTGGCTGTGTGGAATCTGCGCCCAGAGCCTCCACTCACAGCACTCTGACAGGCCAAATGCAACACGATCGGGATTTTCTGCTACAAAACATAAGCAGTTGAGAGGGCCTGCCTCTTGCAATGGCCACAGAGGGCAAGGTCTTGCTTAAAAGGGATATGGTGTTTTCTCATGCCAGGTAAGCATCACCTGGGTGGAGGGGAAACAGCTCTGTCTGTGAGCCACTGAAGCTGAGTTGCAGTCAGACGCCAGAGTACAACGAACTGTTCTTTGTTCCTCCCAGTGTGGACACACGTGTTCAATATTACAAAGTGTACACAAGTGACCGGAATGTTTTGGGGTACTCTTCTCCACCCTTTTCCATCTGTGCCTGTTTCCCCTACTCTTTTAACTGCCTATTTTCTCCATCAGTATTTTTGTTTTAATTTTTTAAACTTATTTTAAACTATTTAAGAGACTCAAAATAGCAAAAAAAGTACATACTACCTGATTACATTTATATAGGTTTGAAAGACTGGCAAAACTAACCTAAGCTGTTAGAAATCAGGGCAGTGGATACCCTTGAGAGGTGCTGAGTGATGTCAGTCATCTTTTCTGTTTCTGGATGTGGACGCTGCAGGCTACATGCGTGCTCCATTTGTGAAAAGTCATTCAGCTGCCCCTTTGTCATCGGAACCCTTTTCTGTATGTCAGTTGAGGGGGACCATTGCAGAAACGAACCCAATTTGTTCAACTTCCCTTTGTCCATGCCTTTGGGTAGGCCCTGACCACACTGATGCCGGGCTTAGCCATGTGAGTGGCTTTGGCCAATGGGACAGAAGCAAATGTTATACAAGCAGAGACTTAAGAGGTGCTTTGCACATTGGGTCCTGCCTTCTCATGCTGCTTTTGGGAACCCTACAATCACCACGGTGTAGATGAGCCTGGGCTAGCCTGCTGGATAATGAGAGACATGTGGCCAAGTCACCTCTTTTGGCCCAGATGACACCAAGCCAACCATCAGATGTGTGAGGGAGGCCATCCTAGATCAAGAGATCTAGGAGCTGCCAAGTGACCACTGAGATCAGTTGAGCTGTCCCAGAGCAGAAGTGACCAGCCAAGTCACAGAATCACGAGAAATAAAAGTCTGTGTTTTCAGCAACATGGATGGACCTAGAGATTATCATACTAAGTGAAGTAAATCAGACAGACTTAAAAAAATGATACAAATGAACTTATTTACTAAACAGAAATAGACTCACAGACAGAGAAAACAAACTTATAGTTACCAAAGGGGAAAGGGGCATGGGGCTGGATAATTTAGGAGTTTGGGATTCAAATATACACACTACTATATATGGAGTAGATAACTAACAAGGACCTACTGTGTAACACAGGGAACTATATTCACTATTTTATAATAACCTATAATGGAAAAGAATCTGGAAAAAAAACATATATATAGGGAATTCTCTGGCGGTCCAGTGGTTAGGACCCTGAGCTTTCGATCCACTGCAGGGGGCACGGGTTCGATCCCTGGTCAGGGAACTAAGATATATATGTGTGTGAGTGTGTGTGTGTGTGTGTGTGTGTGTATAACTGAATCACTTTGCTGTATACCTGAAATTAACACAACACTGTAAATCAACTATATTTCAATAAAAAATTTTTTTTAAAAGTCTGTTTAAGCCAGTTTTGTGGTGGCTGGTTAAGCAGCAAAAGCTAATTAATACATATGTTAAATTGTTTAAGTGTCACATTGCTGAAAAAAACAGAAGTATAAATACAGTTGATTCTTACCATTCAGATTCCATTTTGTAAATTCGCCTGTTCACAAATTTATTCGTAACCTCAAAACGAATACTCGTGCTGCTCTGTGGTCATTCACAGACACGCACAGAGAGGCAAAAAACTTGAGTCACCCAACACACGTTCCCAGCTGAGGTCAAACAAGGTGACGCTCTGCCTTCCTGTTGCGGCTCTCACTTAGTAAACAAGTCTATTTAGTGCCACAGTCTATTTACGGTCTCCTTATTGCTATTTTCACATCTTTGTGCTTTTTGTTAGTGGTTTTGCTGTTTAAAATGGCCCCCAAGCATGGTGATAAGGTGCTGTCTAGTGTCCCAAGTTCAAGAAGGCTGGGATGTGCCTTATGGAAAAAATACGTGCGTTCAATAAGCTTTGTTCAGGCAGTTTTAGTGCTGCGGGCTGTGAGTTCAATGTTTATGAATCTACACCATATATTAAATAAGGTGTCTTGGAACAGAAACACACATAAATAAAGTTGTGTATTGGTCAGATGATGAAAACGTGGTGACCCCGTATTCCCCTGGGAGAAGTGATTCAGTATTCACTGACTCGGTGTTCGCAGTGGCCGTGTAGAATGGAACGACCACAAACGAAAATCCACTGTATATACAGCCGCTCACCACCTAAGAGACAGAGCCTCGGATGGCTTTGCTTCCACCTCTGCGAACTCCAGGTGTGTCCCCTTCACTGCCGGAGTGTAAGAATGAAGAAAAGGAGGCCCGAACACATGGAACTCACCGCTAGAGGTGCCTCGGCGAATCTCGCCTGGAAGGGGGCTGGGGCTGCAGGGCACTGACTCAGTGGCAGCTTTGCACATGTCCTGTAAAGAAAACAGGTGCCCCGTTACCATGGGGACAGGGGCATAAGCTGGCGGAAGAGGGAACCCAGATATCTAAGCAAAACTCGGGGAATCAGAGCCTGAGCTGTTAGAGGTTTCAAAACATTTCCCTTCTAATCATAATGAAGCACCAGACACACCCAAGCTGAGGGACATGCTACAGAACACCTGACCAGTACTCTCCAAAACTGTGAAGGTCATCAAAAACCTGGGAAGACTAGGAAACTGTCCCAAATCAAAAGAGACTAAGGAGACGTGAGAAGTAATGGCATGTGGTATCCTGGAACAGAAAAATGACATTAGTGGAAAATCTAATGAAATCCAAATAGTCTATAATTTAGTTAACAATAGCATACTACTAATGTCCATTTCTTAGTTTTGACAAATGGACCATGGCTCTGGAAGATGTTAACATTAAGGGAAGCTGGGTGAAGGAAGTATAGAAACTTTCTGTACTACTGTTGGAACTTTTCTATAAATCTAAAATTGGTCTCAAATTTAAAAGTTTAAAGAAATCATTTTGCTCAGTGACCTCCGTGATAACTCAGCTAACGTCCCTGGCTTGAGAAAGCCCTCGCTGCGGGGTCTTGCCCTGGATGGTGGACAGACGAAGACCTGTCCCTGGGATGGAGGGAGCTACTAAAATTGACGAGAATAACCCCAGCAGCTGTCACTCGGTAAAGTGGAGTGCTGGAGAGCGCAGCTCTGAAGCAAGCTTCCTTCTCAGTCAAGTGGAGGGAGGAGTAAGTGAGCTCATATTCGTAGAGGACGAAGACAGGGCCTGACAGGCCACGGCAAGTGCTTGGTAAGTGCTAACTATCATAACTAAACAAGCTCTTCACTCCAGGCCTGGCACTTGGTGCCACATACACTCTCTGGTAAATGGCCACAGCGACCCCATGCAGCAGGGCTGTGTGAAAAGCCTGTTTCAGAGACTCGGGGAGGTGAAATCACTAGTCCAAGGTCACTGTAAGCAGAAGGGCCAAGAAGGGAACCACCATGTTGTTGGCCAAGCCACCAACTGGGTCCCACATAGAGAGCTCCTGTTCTGGGGACAGAGAAAGAGTCCTGGTACGGATACCTATCATGAGGAAGATGAAAACTAGCAATAATAATACTTAAAGCGAGCCCCTACTGCGGCCTCCTGTTCACACTGTCCTAGGGCTTTATATAACTTAGTACTCACAACCCTCCTGCGAAACTGGTTTGCCTACGTACATCCTACAGGTGGAGAAAGTAAGGTTCAGAGAGGTTGGGCAACATGCCCGATGTCACACAGCAAACAGTGGAACCAGCCTTGGAATCCAGTCTTCCTACCTTTACTTCCAAGCCTCCAGTCGGCTCTGCCACTGCCCCCCTACCCCACCCTAAATCCAGAGACAGAGGGGTCGAGTGGAGCACCCACCTGGCGGTGCACCACCTTGGCATGCTTGAGGATGGCAATGATGTCGCCCACCACAGTCACGCCCAGCTCATTCATGATCTCCTTGTTGAGATCCAGCAGCATGCTCTTCTGGATCCTGCAGGGGAGGGTCAGCAGGGAGGCCACAGTGGGCCAGGGTGGGTGGGCCAGCCAGCCCCCTGACTCCCTTCCTTTCCCCAGGTTCAGCCCTGTCCCCTCGGCAGCCTTACCTGTTATCCACAAACATCACTGCGTAATTGACAGCAGGTCCCGGAGGAATGCCGGCTTCCTTAAAGAACTGGATCCACTCGGAAGTGGCTGGGGGATGGGGGCATGGACAGGGCTCATTAGTCACATTACTCTCCTTAGAGAAGAGCAGCAGCAAACCACAACAGCAGCAGCTCCCGCAAATTAAATGCTTATCAAACGCCAGGCCCTGGTCCTGAGAGCTCTGCATATACGATGCAACTAAGCCGGCCTGACAGCCCTGTGGGTTAGGCAGCATTGACGCCCCCATTTTGCCAGTGAGGAAACTGAGGCAGGGAGAGGTCGGGGGACCCTCCCCAGGCCACCCTGCTAACAAGAAGCAGACTTCCCGAGGCCCTGTGCTTCCATACGGCCCTTCTCCTTGCAGCTCTGCCCTGCTCTGGAGCGTGACCCGCAGCAATCACCGCCCCCCCCATGCTTGGCCAATGACTGGTTTGGGGGAGTCAGGACTCTGGGTTCTCCATCCAGGTCCCCATCAGCAGGTGCGGGCCCCGAGGGTGACAGGATTCATAGGTGGATGGAAAGAAGGGTTGCAGAGCTGACCCCTGGGTGTCAGAAGCAACCCCCCTCTACACACACACACAGAAGCAGCCCGGCCTCAGAGTGAGCATGTTTGGAGCATGGGTTCAAATCCTGGTTCTGCCATCTCCCAGCTGAGGGACTTTGGGCAAGGTAACGCTTGGTGCTTCGGTGTCCTCTAGGGTAATACATTCAACAAGTATGTACTGAGCACTTGGCACACACCAGGTCCTGCTCTAGGCACTGGGGATACCGCAGGGCACAAGACAGAGTCCCTTTCCTCATGGAGCTGACATTCTAGTGATAACAGCACTGACGTCCTTGGTCATTGTGCAGACTAAAGAGAAAGTCCACAAAAAGGGCTCTAAGTGGCACATGGCCCAGAGGATGTCCTCAACCCACTGCAGCCATCATGATGATGAAGGGGATAATGGTGATGATGGTGCCACCGCTACACATGGAGCCAAGACCAGGCAGACCCCATCCATGTAGCTTTATTGCTTCCAAAGTTCTTTCTTGGCCTCTTGGGTGTGACCTTCAAGCTGACCCTGACCTGTCAGGCCAGGTGTTAGAGAAGATCATTGGTTCCAAGGAGAACTTTTCTTTCACATTTTAATATCTCTGAAACTAGGATTTACCTCACAATTGATGGTGTGCCACAATTTAATTGGCAACATTGTTTTCTTTATCTTTCTCAGGGTACATAACAGTACATCCAACAATCCATGCTATTTTAGATAAGAAGAAATTTGGTGTTACTATGCCCATTTTGCTGGTAAGACAACTGAGGCTCAGAGCAGGGAAAGAGACACACTCTGGATGAGACACTGCATGGGTGGGGGGTAGGGGGCTCAGGCGCATCCCCTCCTGAAGAGGCCCCTGCCCACCCAGCCACAGGCCAGTCCCCCTGGGCCTGAGGCAAGTGAGGAGCTCATGCCCTCAGGACATCCTCCAGCAGCCCAGAGGAAAGGCGGACCTTTTTCTACTTTTCACAGGCACTATCCACCTGTCCAGGCATGGGGCCCTGGGTTCCCTTAGCCAAAAGCAGGCACCTTTGGTCTAAGTGTCAAAAACTACCACACAATAGTTCCATTTATGTGAAATGTCCAGAAGAGGTGAATCTGTAGAGATCTATAGGGACAGAAAGTAGATTAGTGGTTGCCAGGGACTGGGTGGGAGAGCGGGGGGCGGGGGGTGAACGCTAATGGGTATTCGGGTTTTGCGGGAAGTGATGAAAATATTTTGAAATTGATTGTGGTGACGGTTGCATAACTCTGCGAACACAGAATATAAAGACCATTGACTCGTACGCTTCAGTGAATTGTATGAAATGTGAACTGCCTCTCAATTAAGCTGTTATTAAGGGGAGGAAAAACACCACATAGGTTGGGGGTAGCTAGCTGCCTGAAGCAACGACAAGGCACTGCAAAAGTCCTCCTGTCTGGTCGTCACCATCATTTCGTGTCCTACTTAAGGAGGAAAATATGCTGCCAATTAAATGATCACAAGCACCAGCTGTAAGATGAACCCCCATTTCAGAAATATTAATATGGGCCACGATGTGTGTCTTGGACTCAGAGGAGTGGCTTGCTGTACACACCAGGAGACACGCACTAGAAGATTCACGGCAGCTTGTCTGCAACCCAGAAACAATGCAATATCCACTGACAATAGCATCGACAAACAAATGGTGGCTGCCCACACAGTAACTACTACGGAGCAGTGCAAAGCAAAGAACTGCAACTACACAGAGCACCAGAGATGACTCAGACACTGCGCAGAGCAACAGAAGCCAGACGCGGAAGACCTCACGACGCGACTGCATTCACGTAAGTTCAAAACCAAGTCTATAGGAATGTTTTCATTAGTGGTACAACTATAGGAAAGGTAAGGAGAGATTATCACAAAGAGAAGATCGTGGTTTATTCCATCTGGAGGAGGGAGGGGGTGTATGATTGGGTTGGAGCCCTCAGCGGGGCAGGCAATGTTCTAGTTCTTGACCTGGACGGTGGTTAGAGGGGGGGGTGCTTTTTTAAAACCTCTTTATTGAACCATCATTTTCACCCACGAAAGTACACACAAGTCAGTACATTTTCATAAACCAACATACCCATGTAACCAGTCCCCAGATCAAGAAATGAAACATTTCCAACATTCCAGAAGCATCCCCTGCCTCACATCCCCCAGGCGGTCACTTCTCCCTGCCTCGCAAGGGCAGTCAACACTTTCTAGCAAGCACAGAGTGATTTTGCCTGCTTCTGTGCTTTACATAAATAGAATCATAAAGGATGCACTCAGACGTTTGCTTTTTAATTGCTCTTATGACCACACAAATATGTTGTACGTACTCTTCTATACGTACAAATCTCCAAAACTTTAAAAGCTACCAGCTAATAATCTCGCACTTTGGCAATCCCCAAGTACAGAGTTCGAAGAGAATGTGGTGATAAAGCTCATGAGAGTAATAACAGCTATAACGTTTGCTGAGAACCATGCCCAAGATTTCACATGCAACAACCTCCTAATCCTTACAACATCCCAGGATGTTACTATCTCCATTTTACAGGTGAGAAAATCGAGGCTCTGAGAGGTCATATGAGAAATCTGCTGGACTTCAGGACTTTATGGCCTGAAGTTCTTTATGGCCAAAATACGTTGTCAGCAGGCCCAGATACAGAGCGGAGGTGGATAGGCCCTGGGCAGGCCCTGGCCCTCCCTCCGCGTTCCCCGGAGCACAGCTGTTCCTGCCAGTGACCAGCCCTCCCTTCCCCAGCCTGCCCCCCCCCCCACCAAGGTCATACCTCAGAAAGGGCAGAGGGGAGAGGGGGCCCCAGAGAGAAGACTCACCCATAGTTACAGAGACCATTGTCTCCCCCGCCTTCACTCTGCTCCCTGGAGCCTGCATGAGAGAACAAGGGGAGAGCACCCATGAGTCGCCGCTGGCTAAGTGTCCGTCCCTCTCTCGCTGCCTGTCTGCCTGCCAGGGGAGAGTTCCTGGGCTGGGGGCTCACAGCCCAGGAATAGCCTGGAGCAGCTGGCAGGAAGTCAGCCTGGGGCAGAGCTGTCACCACAACTATCACTCCTGCCTCGGATAAGGCCCAGGGGTGGCAAATGTCCACATCTCCATTCCCACACACCTCACAAGTTTCTGGCTGGAATAAGAGAGGGACAGAAAAAAAGACACCCCCTGCCCAAGACCTTAACCATAAATACCCATTCATTCACCCATTCAAAAACTCTTTCCTGAGAACCTACTGTGTGTGAGGCACTGTTCTAGGAGCCAGGAATACTGAGGTTAACAAAAACCAGAGCTTGAGGACTTCCCTGGCGGCCCAGTGGTTAAGACTCCGCGCTTCCACTGCAGGGGGCACAGGTTCGATCCCTGGTCGGGGAACTAAGATCCCACATGCCGCAAGGCGCAGCAAAAAACAAACAAACTCCAGAGCTTGGCATCTAGGTGGGGACACGGGAAACAGGGAGACAGAGAGTAAACAAGCAAACCAGTTGACAATATCACGTGTCAGAAAGGCTTTAGCCTTATGGAGAAAACACAGAGGGCCCGGGAAGGGAGAGCTTGCAATTCTAAATGGGTGGTCAGAGAAGAGCTCTCTAAAGTGACATGTAGAGGCCTGAAGGAGGTGGAGGGGTGAGCCATGCAGTTTTACAGAGGAAGTGTGTTCCAGGAGAAGGTACAGCAAGTCCAGTGCCCTGAGCCAGGAACCCATCTGGCATGTCCGTGGGGCAGCAGGAACAGGGGAGGGAGCAAGGAGGCAAGTGAGAGCGGCCAGGGTAGAGAGGTGGGGCACCAGTCAGGAGGGGGTCCCAGAGCAGAAATGGAAAACCAGTTTTCGCTTGGGTAAGATCAGCAGGTGCCAGAAAGGTGTTAAAGACATATTAGCCCCAACGGAGACTTCCTCCTGCACATGAACAGCAGTGTTGAAAGAGAACTAACAGAAATCATTTCCTCACCTGATGCTTCGCTACTACCTGACTCCAGGACCACCTGTCCCATGCTGCCCTGGCCCAAACTTCCCACCTGGCCCGCCTCCTCTTCTCAGTCCCTGCCCTCTCCCCTCACGCTGCTCCCCTCCACCCACTCCAGCCCCCAGTTCTGATCCTTTTCACCCACCCCGCCTCCGCCTCCTCTACAGGTGCAGAAGGCCCACTGTCCAGCACCTTTCTGTTTACCATCACGTACGATCTGCCCATTCCCGCCCCCCCCCCCAACAATTCTGATGGTATCACAGAGATGGTACAAGAGTAAGGACTCTGGAACCAGACTTGCAGGATTCAAATCTGGCTCTACCACTTACTAGCTGTGTGACCTTGGCAAGGGACTTCACCAGTCGGGCTTCAGTGTCCCCATCTGTAAACCGGGATGGTACAAACATTACTTGCCTTAGAGGACTGCTGTGGGGCTAGATGAGTTTCTATGTACAAAGCGCTCAAGAGTGCCTGGTGTATACTAAGTACCTACTCTAGAAGTGCTGGTTCTTCTTATTCCCCAGCCTCCCACCCCAGCTTTCCCTCTAACACCCAAGTGCTTTGCCTGCCACCCACTTTTCACACAGAACGTCACCTGTGCCTGGAATGCTTGCTCCTCCTGTCCTCCTGGCAAGCTCTCCATCACTCTGCTTGGCTGCCACCTGCTTTGTGAAGCCTTCCCAAAGTCCCCGGATGTGAGGCTCTCTCCTCTACTCCCAAGTAGGATGACGAACATGACCACGGACATCACTTCACCCTGTACTTGGCTCCTAAGATCCCTTTTCCCTTTGGGATTTTACCACTGGACAAAGACAATACAACCAACATCTCTCAAAGAGCAAAAGGCATGGAGAGGCTTCAGTGAGTCAGACAGAGCAACAGCATTTCACACACCAAGCACTACCTATGCACCAGGACCAATGCCAGGCATCACACTGATGCCTCACAACCTCCTCATGAGTGAGGACTATAATTAGCCCCATTTTAATCAATGAAGGAACCAACTCATTGTGGTGCAGTCATTTGCCAAATGCCACATCTAGCAAGCACTTTACTAGGACTCAAAAACAAGTTCTCCCTGATTCCAGTGCCCATGCAGTAGCTCCTGCTGAATGTTTACGTGCCAGGCACTGAATATGTTCACATCTCAGTGACTCCTCACAACCACCCGTGGTAAAAAGTAAAAGTGATCTCCAAGTCACAGATTAGAGTGGCAGGTCCGAGGTCACACAGCAAGCAACTACAGGGCCAGGGTTTGAACCGAAGTCAGTCAGTGGCTATGATTAACACTGGTCAAGGGATTACTATGAGCCAGGCACTGTGGTCTGTCTGTCTTTGCAAAGTTTCAGTTAACACTTACTAGGAGGCTCTAAGTACTGGTATCCTCCCACTATAACTGCAGAATTCCCTGCTGGACTCAAGTGTCCTCTCTCCACCACCAAAAGCCCATCTCCAGCACTGACCTTCTGAACAGTGAAGATTATATAACATTAACAATAACAGGAAAATGACAGCTCCCCCAATTCAAGTAATCACCATGCACCAGACTCCTCACCCTAAGCCCTTAGAAGGCTTGGCTCCAAATCTCGATTTTACCAACTTCCTAACCCTGACCCTGGGGCAAGTGGCTTAACCTTTCTGGATCTCACTCCCTTCAACTATAAAATAACAATGATAGGAGTTATTGTACATCAACTATACTTCAATTAAAAAAAAAAGGATAAGCATATCTATTCTTAAAGTGTTTAGCAGGGTTAAAAGAGTTTATAAACGCCAAGCCCGTAGAACAATGTTCAGTAGGTTTTGTACATGTGCATTAAATAAATCTTAAGTGAGTCAGGAAAAGGGTAGGACAGTCACTAAGCTGATGTCAGTCATATGCAAAGTGTGAGCTGAGAACAGAGTATAACTTAACAGGGTCCATGGGATCTGACAACATAGAACCACAATAGTACAAGTTATCCCCTTTTCAATTCTTTCAGTTTCTGTCTACAATTTAATAGACCGTTCTGCTTCCATTGGAGTTCAGGTTAAGTTTTCCTTCTTCTCACGGCCAAAATGCTAGTTTTCCATTAACAAAGCAATACAAATTTTCTTTCTCAAATGAACTGACTGGAGGAAAATGCATCAGTTTTAAAGAAAAAGGAAAACGTAATACTAAGGGATTTGGCAAAATTTATCAAATAGTAAGTGGCGGGATGTCGATTTGCCCAGCTCCAGATTCCAAGTTTTTCCTATCGCCGTCTCTGAGCTTCCTTCCTTCTCTCTTCCTTGCAAGTCCCATCTACACCAATGACTCTCAGAATCATTTTTATTATAGTCCCAATCTACTGAGCTCCTGCTCTACACTGTCAGGTCCTATGCTAAGGAGTTTACACGCACATTTCATCAGCATCCTCACAATGACTCTATGATATTGGGGCTATTAGCCTTCGTTGTATAGACGAGGAAAACGAGGTTCAGACAGGTGAAGGCACAGTTCCACTACCACAAAGTGTAGCTAGGACTTGAACTGAGATCTGTTGGCTCCCAATTCCACGCTCCCACACCCAGCTCTTCCACACCAAGTACAAACATCATCAACAATACAAACAATAACAGTATAGCAACCAAGTGAGCAGTGTGCCAGACGCTGAGCTAGGGGCTCCGACATGCACGAGCTGACTTCTCACTCCAACCCATAAAGAGGATGCCATAGCCAGATTCTGATCCCCATCCTACAGAGGAGGAAACTGAGGTTCAGAGAAAGAAGTAGCTTGTCAAGAGCAGAGTCGCACAGCGGCGCCAGGACTGAGTCCGGAACCCCGGGCGCCATTCATTCCCACCTCATCCAACCCAGTCCCACCACCCACGGCCCGCGCCTCACCTGGCCCTCTGGGCCCGCGCCCACTCGCGCCGCCCGCCCTCCCACCCGGCGGCGCCAATTGTCAGACCCTCCTCCTTCGGCCCGGCTGCCCGCCCCGGAAGCACCGTCCTCAACGCCGGAAGCCGGACTTACCGGCCCGCGGCCGCTCTAGCCCTCCGGGTAGCCACCAGCGAGAGCACAGCGGCAACCGTCACGTGACCACCCGCACTCTCCCAGGCGCTTCCCCCTCCCCACGCTAGCGAGGAGCGCGGCCAATGAGAAAGGCAATTGCCCGGCCCCCGCCGGCCCGCAGTCTAGCCGGAGTGCGCCTGCGCGCAGCGGGGGCGGTCGGGCGGGGCTCCAGCCTAGGAGGTGCGTGAGGGGCTGAGTCCAGGAGTGGGAGACGTGGAGTGCAGGTAATATGCGATCTGGGGGCGCGGCGTCTCGGCTGCCCTCCTCGTGTCGTCCTTCGAATATAATGCATCTCTCCTCTTATATCGTCCTCTGTCCCTTTATGTCCCCATTCCTCCCCTTATGTTGCATCCCGCTTAAATCGTTACCACTCCCGTTATGTCGCCATCACCCTCCTTAGGTCGTCGTCAACCCCCTTAACAAGATTTCGTTCCTTTAAGTCCCCATGGCCACCACATGTCGCAGTTACCCCCCTTTAAGTCGTGTCGCCTTCTCATATCGCCTTCACCCCTCTTTTGTTGCTATTACTCCTTTACGAAGTCCTTCTCATAAATCGTCATCATACCCCCGTGTCACCTTCGCACGCCTCCTGTGACCATCTCCGTAAGTTACGCTCACGCTTCCCTTATATCTTCCTCATCCTTTATGTCTCCATCCCTCCCCGTCCTCTGACAGTCACTGTCCGTGCCTAATGCTTCTAGTTTTCCCCATAAGGACCTACCCTGCCCTACAGTTGTTATTCTTCCCTTCATGTCTCCGGTATTTCCCCGTGTCCCCTCTCACATACCGGGTACTAGAGCCCGTTATCCTGGCTCCACCACTAAGCATCTGGGTAACCTTGACCACCTAATCACACGTCTGCAGTCGCAGCTTCCTCATCTGTGAAACGCACACAAGGACACCTACGTCAGGGATGATTGTGAGGATCCTGCGTGTTTATTCTTGTGACATGCCCAGCTTGATGTGGCCATTTGAGCTAATATTATTAATCATCGCACCCTCACCTTCATCCAGTCACCTTCATCCGCTCCTCATTGCCGCTCTCCCCCTCCCCCCAGCTGCCCTCATCATTACCGTGGTGTCGTCACCATTCCCTGTATCCTGATACTCTCTGCCACACCAGCCAACCCCTGCTGTCCCACATCATGATCACTATGCTGTCCTCACCTCTGCCACATCACCACACCTGAGGGGGTGACCCATCAGCCATCACGAACCTTGCTCATGTAAATACTTAATCCCTATCTCCTTACCTTGTTGGAGTGACTGATTTCCCACCCCCAAATTGAGAGCACTTAGCCAATGGCAGGAGTCGAGGAGCGCTTGGTGGGAGGAAGACTCTAGAAAGCTTAGACCCAACCCTTCCTTGACTTATAGAATTGGGGGTGCAGAGAGATGAGGCAGGTCTCACCACACCTTTGTCAAACCTCAGCAACCCTGAATCCCCAGGTGGAAAGGTAAGTATCTTAGTCACTCAGCTTGCCTTAGCATGGCCATGTAGGACAGCCATTACAGTGTGTGTCTGGGGACTGGAACACCCTGGTTCCAATCTTGGTTCTAGCATTTAGTACTTAAATAGTACTAAATGACCTTGGGCAGCTGGCTTAAGGTCCCTGTGCCTCAGTTGCTACATCCTGCAACATGGGAATGAAAAATGCAAGTTAATTCATTCAATAAATATTTATTAAGCATGTTCTACATGTTCAGCATTGTGCTAGGCATTGGGGACACATCAGTGAATAAAACAGAGATCCTTGGCCTCATGGAGTTTACATTCTATCGGGGTAAGAGACAGTACACAAACAGGGAAGTAGATTATATGATGTGTTAGGAGGGAGTTGGGGGATGCAAAGATTATAGTTTTAAGTAGGGTGATCTGGTGACATTTGAACAAAGACTTGAAGAGGGGAGAGAGTGACATGGCTGTCTGGGGGAAGAGCGGCATTCTAGGCAGAGAGAACAGCAAATGCAAAGGTCCTGAGGTAGGAGCATGCATGGAATATTTAAGGAATAGCAAGGAGACCAGTGAGGGAGGAGAGGGATGGGGAATGAAGTCAGCAGGGTGATGGGGGCAGATCATCTGGGGTCTCATGGGCCATGGAGAAGACTTTGGCTTTACTCTGAGTGAGGTGGGAGCCATGGGAGGATTTGGAGGAGAGGAGGGATGTGATCTGATGTGACATGACGTGACATGAAGAAGCAGCAGCAGCTGGAGAACGTCTACCAAGGATGGATTGGCAAGAGCAGCCTGGTTGGAAGGACAGCCAGACTCCTCTTCTGAAAGCTGCACTCACATATCCTTTGTATTTGGAGAAAGCTTCAAATGTCCCTCTCAAAGATTAGGGGTGGGATGGGGTGGGGAGGGATGTTGGTAGGGGTTTTGAGAGGCTACTGGGGAGGGGCGGAGGGCGTCACAGAATATAAAGTGTTTTGAGCAGTGCCTGGTTCAATAAACATAAGGAGACCCCGCTCTCCCACATCCTGTCCTTTCACAGGCTCAGACCTCCCTGAGGGTGGCAAGGAAAAGACATTCTGCCTTATTCTGTGTTCGGGAATTGGTTTGACACTGTTGTGTCCTGGCACAGAACTGAGCTCTGGGTTCAAATTCTTGGCCGACAGACCAACGCCGTGTGACCTGGGCAGTGATTTCCCTGAGCCCTACCTCGTCATCTGAAAAACAGAGATAATAACGCTTCTTTGCCCCAGATGTGTTGTGTTGTTCTTTTTGAACTGAGACATCAACCATTTTCATCGTTTTATTTTTCTCCAAGGCACCAACTGTATGTTTTGCTCATTTAATCTACTGTCTTACTCCCTCAAAAGAATTTTTTCCTTCCTAGGGACTTTTTGTTTGTTTTTTCTGTGCTATATCTCCAATTTCTAGATAAGGTTTGTAAGAGAATAAGCCCAAGAGGTTATTAAGGGGAGATCATTCAGGGCTTTGGGAGCCACAGTGAGGAGCTGAGACTTTATTCTGCAGATACCAGGGGGCCACAGAAAGGTTTTGAGCAGAGGGTGGACAAGTCAGACTCAGATGGAGGGGGAATTGGAAGGGTTGAGTGGAGGCTGGGAGCCACAGGATGTGGCTGGAGTGGGGACCCAAGTGGGAGAGGCCAGTTCGGGGCCATGGAGGGGAGAGAAAACGGTTGGGTGGGAGACACACTTGGGAGGCCAAGTGGATAAGTTGTGGGCGGTCCAGGACAAGGCCCAGGACTCTGGGGGAGTCAGGGCTTTCTGGAGAAGGTAGCACACAGGCTGAGACCTGAAGGATGGGTAGAACAGCTCTCCTTGAAAGGGGGACCCGGGGGAGGAGCAGGTTTGGGAGAGATCCTAAGGACAGTTGGAGACATGGTGGGTGTATGGGGCTTAGGGACACCTGGGTGGAGGTGTCTAGGAGGCCATGGGACTTCCGGAGCTGAAATTCAGGGGGGAGGTGGGAATCGGAGACAGCTTTGGAGTCAGAAAGGGGGACTGAAGCTATAATGGTGGGGAAGGTCCACAGGGGCTGTCCATGTAGGGCCCAAGAGGACATTGTAAGATGGTTGCACTTGGTCCTGGAGGCAATGGGGAGCCACAGAGGGGGTTTGAGTAGGGATGGGACAGCTTAGACTTTTGAGTTCCAGTTCAGAAGTATTCGCCATTCATGATGGAGTGTTGGGGGACAGGGGGTTGCGTGTGTATTTTTTTACTTATTTAATTGTTTTTCAGACTAAGCATCTTCTCTCCCTAGAAGGGGCACCTTCTAGGGGGTCCTTTGAAATAAAAGGTCTACTGCTAAAAACAAAACAAAAAAGTTTACAAAACCAGTGCTCTGTTCTGTTTTCTGTAGACTTGACCACAGACAATTGTGCAGTCAGTCCGAAGGGGTCTGCACAATCAAATGAAAATCGGCTCCTTTAAACCCAAGAACAGTTCTGTTTTGAACCGTATGGAAGGTCCATAGGTTAGTGAATGTTTCCTGAGGTATGGCCTGTCCAGTGCTTCACGTGGGCTTCAGCAGCTAACTGGCCCCACACCCTTCTTTGCACTTTCATACGTCTTGAATCAACCTTGAACTGACCTTGAATTTTACCCTCAGGCTGAGGTGTCATCTGCACCTACCCTGTTGCTCTGGGCTTAGAACACAAGCTACTTACACATTGTGTGTACACGAGTGTCATTATGTCTAGGGAGACATCCAAGAAAGTCTCTTCTCAAGGGTTTCCATTCTACTGCTTCTTTTCTTCTGTTTTCAATAAACATTTATTGAGTGGTTACAACGTGCTAGGCACAGGGTGGGTAGAGGAATAAATTAGACATAGACTTAGCTTTTTAAGGGACACATATAGGTTTATCTATGATAAAAGTGTGTCCAGGGTGCTAGGGGACACAGCTAACCAGCCAGCTTGTATCTGTGCTACCTGGCCTGCTATGGATGGTTTCACTGACTGCCCAACAAACGTGAGGTTGGTATATTAGTCTACCCATTGTTCTGAGAATGCAAGGAACGCAAGTGAGGTTCAGAGAAGGGAGCCTCTTCTCCCAGTAACACACAGAGCTGAGATCTGAACCCAGGGGGTTGGGACTGCAAGACGCACCCCCTTAAACCATTCAGAGATCCCCCAGCCACCACTCCCCAGATGGGTATAAAGTGATCCCCTTTTTTTTTTTTTTTTTTTTTGCGGTACGCGGGCCTCTCACTGTTGTGGCCTCTCCCGTTGCGGAGCACAGGCTCCGGACGCGCAGGCTCAGCGGCCATGGCTCACGGGCCCAGCCACTCCGCGGCATGTGGGATCTTCCCGAACCGGGGCACGAACCCGTGTCCCCTGCATCGGCAGGCGGACTCTCAACCACTGCGCCACCAGGGAAGCCCAAGTGATCCCCTTTTTATGAATGAGGGCAGCAGAGCTCAGAGAAGTAAAGCCCCACGCCTGATGTCACTGAGTAAGAAAGTGACAGGGGTGGGATCTGAACCCTGGCGCCTCCAACCCAAAACACTACTATGGAAGAGGGATCAAGTCTCCCACCCCAACCCTCACGGGTGTTCAGGGAGCTGTGAGCCAACACGTGTCTCAAAAGCCGGGTGGGTTTTGCTTCCTCCTTTTCTGTGCGCTGTGGTTCACAACCCAAGTCAGGCAGGGCACAAGCCAAGGGAACAGGGAGATATTCTGTGGGCTGGTGAAACTGCACAGCTCAGTCCCGCAGGCTGGGACTCGAACCCAGCCAAAACCCAGAGTGGGCTTTGAACCCACGTTCTTTTAACTGAAACCACACACCCGGTCTCAGGACTTAATGAAGCTTAGGTTCTTTATGTCTCAGCGCAGAAAGAATTCAGTGAGAGACAAAGTGATAGGTAAAAAGTGGATTTATTTAGAGAGATACACATTCCATAGACAGAATGTGGTTCATCTCAAAAGGCAAGAACGGCCCTGGGAAAAACACACTCCATAGAGTGTGGGCCGTCTCGGAACGCGAGAGGTCCGGAAATATGGGGTAGTTTTTATGAGCTGGGTAATTTCATTGGCTAATGAGTGGGAGGATTATTCCAACTGTCTTGGGGAAGGGGAGGAGATTTCCAGGAATTGGGCCCCGCCCACTTTTTGGTCTTTTAGGTCACCTTGGAACTGTCATGGCACCTATGGTTGTGTCATTTAGCATGTGCAAATGCATTGGTCCCCAGCCTTTTTGGCACCAGGGACCGGTTTCGTGGAAGCCAATTTTTCCACGAGCGGGGTGGGTGGGGGGTGGTTCAGGCGGAGGGATGGGCAGCGGCAGATGAAGCTTCGCTCGCTCGCCCACCGATCACCTCCTGCTGTGCGACCTGCTTCCTAACAGGCCGTGGACTGCTAGCGGTCCGTGGCGCGGGTGTTGGGGACCCCTGTGCTAACGTATATAATGAGGCTCAAAGTCTACTGGAAGTCAAATCTTCCGCCACCTTGGACCTAGTTGGTTCTAACCAGTTCATGCTGTATCCTCAACGGCTGTGTCATTCTTTTAAAGATTGTGCCCTGCCCCCTTCCCTCCCGTTTCACTGGGAGGGGGCACACCTGCTGGTGGAGGTGCCCCCTACACCAGCGAGGAAGCAGGGCATGAGGACCAGCCTGGACATTGCACTGGAGCCCCAGGGTGAGTTCTAGGTTCCTGGGAACCCTGGAATTGAGGTGAGCTGAGAAGGCCAGCACTTGCCGGCCTGGCTCTGTCGGCCCGGCTGTCCATATCCTGCTTCAGTTTCACCCTGCCCTGCTCCCCCTAGGGATCTGGGGATTGAGGGTGCTGGATACCTATCCAGCTGAGGCCACAGTCCCCTTTTGGAGACTGGGATGTTGGGGAAGGGCGCCCGCAGCTAGGAGCCTGAGCCTCAATTTAATTTCCATGGAAGGCCTATGTGCATTTTTTAAAATAGTGAGTAAAGGCCCACAGTAAAAAGCAGTCATCTTGCCTGGCCGAGGGTGGGGAGGACGGAGGCGGAGGGAATCATGCCTTTTTTCTTTTCTTTTTGGCTGTTAGGACCCTTGAGACAATCATATTTATTGAGAACCTCTTGCATGCCCATTCTCTGCACTTGATATATATGAATTCCTTGAGTTAGAAGGAGCCACTCAGATTTTAAACATCTCAAATTTTACATGTTCAAAAGACACACATTATTTATTTATTTTTGATATTTTTAAAAAAATTTATTCCTGGTCTTTTCCCCAAACTTGGTCCTCCTCAGTGTTCCCCCAAATCACACGCCCACCCCAGTCAGTTACCCACACAGCCAGAGGGAGCCTGTAAACCTGTATTCGTTTCCTGGGGCTGCTGTAACACGTGAGCACAAACTGCGTGGCTTAAAACAACAGAAATTTATTTTCTCACAGTTCTGGAGACCAGAAGTCCAAAATCAAGGTGTCAGTAGGGCTGTGCTCTCTCCAGAGCCTCTAGGGGAGATTCTGTTCCCTGCCTCCGCCAGGTTCCGGTGGCTCCTGGTGCACCTGGGTTTGCAGCCCATCATTCCAGTCGCTGCCTCCCTGGTCATGTCTCGTTTCTGTCTCTTTTAGAGATACTTGCCCTTGGGTTTAGGACCCACCCAGATAATCCAGAATAATCTCATCTTTAAATCATTGACTTAATTACATCTACAAAGATCCTTTTTCCAAATAAGGTCACATTCACAAGTTCCAGGAGTGATGACCACATCTGACATATCTTTTCTGAGGCCCCCATTCAACCCACCACAATCCCCAAAGGAGATCATGTTCCCTCCTCTGCTCAGAACCTACCCGTGGCCCCGTCCTTCTTGCCACAGTCCAGGTAGCCCAGCATGATCTGGTCCTGTCACCTCAGACTTACCTCCTCTGCCTCCTCCCACAGGCCATTCCACTACAGACACACTGGCCTCCTCGCTCTTCCCTATCCACACCAGGCACACTCCTGCCTCACGGCCTTTGCACTGGCTGTTCCCTCTGCTCAGAACACTCTTCCCCAAGATGTCCAGTAGCTCCATTCCTCCTCTGCTTGAAGTTTTTTTCCCTCAGGGATCCCCTTCTCTGCGAGGCCTTCCTTGACCTCTTTATTTAAAATTGCAAGCAATCCCAACCCCGGCCCCACCCCTGTCCCTCTTCCCTGAGTCTCCATAGCACTTATTACCTTCTAACATATAATTTAATTTAATACTGTTTTTTGTCTGTCTTTCCTCATGTCAGTTTTGTTCACAGTGATATCCCCAGTGCCTAAAACAATACCTGGTGCACAGGTACTCAATAAATGTGTGCAAAATTAATGAACAGCCTTGTAAAAAGTAGGTGCTATTCTTGCTGTGCCCATTTTGCAGATGGGGAAACTAGGGCACAGATGCACTGTCAGTTCTCTGAAGTCAGTCACGTACATGCTGAGGCTCATATTAGGATCAGGCACCTGGCTCTGGGAGCCACAGTGTTAACTGCCTCGCCAATCTAACCCAGTCTACACCACCTCTTCAGGACTAGTTTTCTTTTTAAATATTGATACCTTAGGTGTATTGCTTTGATAAAAATATAACAAGTCAAAATTAAACCCATCATTACAGACCTGTCATCACGGCACAATTTGAAAGCCAAAAGCTCGCTAACAAACTGAATGAAATGCGTCTATTTTCTTCCTATTTTTGATTTATTACCGGCCATCCCAGTTCCCCTGGCTCACCTTGCAGGGTCCCTCACAGCTCCGCACCCTACCTCTGCCCAGTTTTGTTTTTGTTTATCAGCTTCCCTAATTTCACATCACCTGCTGTTCCAACCCCATATTCTTAAAACATTTCTCACCACGGTCCTTCACAAATAAATAAATAAAAGGCAAACTTGTTTCGCACCCCATGCCTCCCCCTCCCCCCACCCTCCAACCCTGCGGTCAGCCACATCCAAGACTTATCTTCTGCTTCTCTTGGTGACCTCTGGAGTTCCAAATAACCTTGATCTGTTGCCATTTCTTGCTGGATCCATTTGACCCATCCCGGTTTGGCTCGCTCCCTGCAATGATAGGAGGGGATCTAGCTGTGTTCTTCCGCCCTTGCCGATCTGGGATCGGACGTTGGGGGGAAAGGGGTTTCCAAATTATCCTTTCAGATCTAGGCAGGATATTGCGGTGAGGAGAGAACCTGGCTCCCTTTTGGAATTTCCTTCCTTTTTTCTTCCTTTTTTTAAAACACATTAATGCATGCGCATGAATTTTTTAAAACGTGACAAAACCTGGGACGCGGCAACACCTGTGTAGGCTTTATAATTATTTTTTAACCTGCACAGAGATGTTTTCTCTTCTTTTCTGTAAGTCGCTCATATTTCACAATTTTAAAAAAGAAAATAGGCCGACGATAAAAAGCAATCCTGACCCACCCCCAAATCCCGCTGTCAAGGCAACCACTTCCAACGCTGTTGCTCCCCTCAGTAATAATCCTTCTCTGCATCTGTTGACTTCCTGCCTGGATGTGGGGAAGGGGGTCCTGCCCCTCTTTCATTGAGAAATGTGGGCGGGGAGGGGGACCTCCAATTTATTTCTCCATCTGTGGCCTTAAATCCTGCTTCGGAGATATGAGATGGTATGTGGGAAACCTTGTTTACCCCTCCAGCCAGAGCCTGGATTTAAGAGACAAAATTTTTAAAATCCTTATCAAAATATCAGTTGACTTTTTTTTTTTTTTAACGAAACACTGACTGCAGTCCACAATCCAAGGGAAAACCCACCATCCCCTTCCCCCCCACCGCTCTTCCCCTCCCTTAGCGTGGGCTGTGTCTTCTAAGCTGATTTCATCGCTACGTTCCTAAATCATGTTATTCAGCCTTGATCATTCCATTTCATTTTATAATTTTTAAAGTCATTAATCTTATTTATGTATTTATTCTTGACCAGGTAATACATGCCCGTGGTACAAAAATTCACAAGGTTTGCAGACGAGAAAAGATGTGGGGGTCTTTTTTCTGTTTACCTGTGGCCTCCCTACCCCACATGGGGGCTCTAGGGTGGACCTTGGCAAAGCCAATCGCTCAGCCATGTACTCTCCCTCCACCCCCGTCAGGTTGGCTGTACTGGGCGGCCGGGCCCCCCTTCTCCCTGCGGTGAGCCCGGACCGGCGCGCTCACTGCGCAGACTCCCCGCTGCAGTGGGCGGAGCCCCCCTCGGTCCCCGCCCCCGCCCCTCCGCCCCGGCTCAGCCTGTCGGGGCAGAAGCTGGGGCCCCGTGGAGGTAGCAGCAGCTGCCTGCCGAGTAAGGCCGAGGCCCCTCTGGGGTAGGGTAGGGGAGGATGGTTTCGGGGATGGGCTGGGGTCTGGCGGGGAGGCCGCGATGGTCCTGGGCTCCCGGCCTGAGCTGTCTAGTCGTTACCTGAGGGTGAGGGCAAAGGAGCCACCTGGAAAATGACTTCTGGGTAATCCCAGGGCTGGGAGAAGCCAGGCACAAAGATTTAGGGCTCCGCTGACCCAATCCGGAGCTGTCATTTTGGGAATGTATAGGTTAGAGCTCAGAGAAGGGAAGGCGCTAATGGGGAGCAGTGTGGGTGCTGATGAGGGGCAGGGTGGGCGCTTGGGGGGGCAGGGTGGGCACTAAAGGGGGGCAGGGAGGGCACCGCAGAGGAATAGGAGGAAAGCAGAGGAGTTGGACTTTGAGGGATTTCGAAATCCCAACTGACCAGCAGTCAGCTTCCTCCTTTAGGGGTGGCAGGCTCAGTGCCAGTGGCCCCCGTGATCACAGACAAGGCGACCCAGGGAGTCCCGTGAGCCCGAGGCTGATCCGCTTTCTGTGATGTCCCCCAAAAGCCTAGAACACCCCACACAGTGCCAGCTTTTGTTCCCTGCAGTTTGGAGACCCTGACACACCCACTTTCCCACTGGAATCTGTATAACCCCTGGCTGCCCAGCAAGATGAAGCCTAAACTGATGTACCAGGAGGTAGGTGGATGGGGGACCCAGTGGGGAGGGGCTGGACCCAGCAGAGGGTGGGGGCCCCACTGAGCTGCCCTGTCACCCCCACACACACCATCATCCCTGTCCCCCAGCTGAAGGTGCCTGCTGAGGAGCCCTCCAACGAACTACCCATGAACGAGATCGAGGCATGGAAAGCTGCAGAAAAGGTAGGAGCCCACCGCCACCCTCACTCTGTCTCAGCCATGGCCTGGGCTGCCCTCCTTGGGCTGGCTGATCACCTCCTCCTCCCCACAGAAGGCCCGTTGGGTCCTGCTGGTCCTCATCCTGGCAGTCGTGGGCTTTGGTGCCCTGATGACTCAGCTGTTTCTATGGGAATACGGCGACTTGCATCTCTTTGGGCCCAACCAGCGCCCAGCCCCCTGCTATGACCCTTGCGAGTAAGTGGAGGGGGGCGTGGGCGACTCAGATGGTGGGGGGAGGGGCCCTGCCAGGCCGGGGACACTTCAACACGCACTAAGCAGGGCCTGCACCCAGTGGTCGAGACAGAATAAGGTGATTGCCGACTCCCAAGTGGACCGTCACGGTTCTTCCCTCCATGCCCACCTCCTTCCCCCACACTGTTGCCATGGCAGCCACAGCATCATCTTCTATCTGTCTGTGAACAGACACACATGGCATCTTCCATCCACATCTGTGGACAGACACACACACACACACACACACACACACACACAGACAGACATCCACATGCACAACCTTCCTTCCACACCTCTAGACAGACAAATGCAGACACACAGAGAATCACGAGTACCGACACAAATACACATAGTCTTCCATCCTCCGTGGGCAGACAAGTGAGCACTTACATTCCAGCCCCCTATGGCTGATTCTGCCTCCCCCCAACCCCAGAGCAGTGCTGGTGGAGAGCATTCCCGAGGGCCTGGACTTCCCCAATGCCTCCACGGTCAACCCCTCCACCAGCCAGGCCTGGCTGGGCCTGCTCGCCGGTGCCCACAGCAGCCTGGACATTGCCTCCTTCTACTGGACCCTCACCAACAACGACACCCACACTCAGGAGCCCTCTGCTCAGCAGGTACCTGGCAACCTGGGCCCTGGCTGGGAGGGGGGGGGGGGGGGGGGGGGGGGGTTGGAGGGAGGCACTGGGGAGGTGGATGAAAGGGGTTTCCCTATAGCCCGGGAGACAGGTGGACATGTCTCACACAGCGGGTTGGACACAGGTGTTTGGAAGCAACTGTCTTCACATGGCCCTCTGGACTGGGGGCGTTTTGTCACAGTCATCTGGAGGCCTCTGAATGTCAGGGTATGGGTTTGGTTACGAGGGATTAGGCTGGCAGATATCGCTCACCCACAAGCTGCCCTGACCCTGTCACACAAAGAAATGGAAACATGGAGTGAGTACCAGCCCAGCCTCAGGCCAGGCTGCCACTTCCCAGCTGTGTGACCTTGGGCAGGTCACTTCACCTCTCGGTCTTCAGTTTCCTCATCTGTAGAATGGGGCAATATCTAGCACTCCCCTCTTGTGAGGATGAAACGGGCTAATCCCTGCCAGTTATAGCACAATGCCCGACAGAGTCAGCCCTTTATAAGCATTTGCTCTGATAGCCTTGTTAGGGTCTGCAGACAAACTTAAAAAACATAAAACTTCAAGATTTGAAAAGGAACAGCCTAGGTGGATAAGCCCTTCATCGAAAGACATGGTGAATTTGTCCCTTTTTTTCCCCTTTCCTTGCTGCCACTCTTTGTCAGAGGTAGGCTTAAAATGTATTAAAATCGTGAGGTTTATTAAGCACTGCCTGAAAAAATATACAACAGTTAAAAATGATATGAGCTGGAAATTCCCTGGCGGTCCAGTGGTTAGGACTCTGCAGTTTCACTGCCAAGGGCGCGGGTTCAATCCCTGGTTGGAGAACTAAGATCCCACAAGCCAAAAAGAAAAGAAAGTCATGAGCTCCCACGCCCTGCTGGTTCCTACTGGAATGGTTCAAAGCACAAAGCACAGACATAGGAGGCAGACCATCTGAGTTCAAATCCTGCTTCCCCATTGATTTCTCCAATGCTCAGTTTCCCCATCTGCACCTTGGGATATACTCAGATTTGCCTCATCAGTGAGAGTGGTGAGAAGTCAGTGAGTTCACATGTAAAGGGGCTTAGAAGGGCCCTGGCTCACAGTAGAAACCAGGGAATCAATGGCTGTTGCTATTAATGTTATTGGCATCATCAGGCCTCACCCAAACCTTCCCAGACCCCAAGCCTGCACTGTGCCCCCAACATCCTGCAAGGTGCCCAGAGGTCCCTTCTGTGACGGGCATTGATACTTCCAAGTCAGGATCTTGGGAAGGTCCCGTGAAGGGCAGGAGTGGCAGGGAGGCCCTAGCAGGGCTCAGAGCGCCAATTATTAAAACAGATAAAGGGACTTCCCAGGTGGTCCAATGGTTAAGACTCTGCACTTCCACTGCGGGGGGCATGGGTTCAATCCCTGGTCGGGGAACTAGGATCCCGCATGCCACACAGTGTGGCCCAAAAAAATCAATAAAATAAAACAGATACAGGTTTTAACATCTTAACCTGTGTAAAGCCTTCCCTGAGTGTACCGGCTAATGTAAAGCCTGATCAGATCTAGAAGCTTAATCTCAAAACAGCTCCATGGGGGGTCCTGCGTGGGGTTGGAGAGTTGGCTCATCCAGCCCCTCAGAGGCTCTCCCCTCCTCCCAGGGCGAGGAGGTCCTCCGGCAGCTACAGACCCTGGCACCCCGAGGTGTGAAGGTCCGCATTGCCGTGAGCAAGCCAAGTGGGCCCCAGCCCCAGGCAGATCTGCAGGCCCTGCTGCAAAGCGGTGAGCTAGGGGGCAGCTGGGGGTGGGCTGGGCCTGGGGCTGCCCAAGCCAGCACCCTGACCACCACCCCTGTCTGTCCAGGTGCCCAGGTCCGCATGGTGGACATGCAGAAGCTGACCCATGGCGTCCTGCACACCAAGTTCTGGGTGGTAGACCAGACCCACTTCTACCTCGGCAGTGCCAACATGGACTGGCGTTCCCTGACCCAGGTCTGCCTGCACCCTGCCCACCGCCCTTCTAGGCCGCTCCCTGCCCCACAGGGCACCCGGCCTCCAGCTGCGCCCCGCCTCAACCCCAGAGTCCTCTCTTCCAGTCTCTGCAATGGCTTCCTTCCCACCTCCTACCTAACATCCCCAAATCCAGCCCTCCACCACCCTCGCTCTGCTCAGGGAAGCCCCTCTGATCCCCGATGGCATCTACAGGACATTCCAGGCCCTGTCCACCCATTTGACCTTGACGATTCACTCTCTACATGCCTGCTCTAAGCCCAGCCCTGTTCTGATGCTGGGGACGTGGTGGACCTCTTGGAACCCCCGGTCCAGGGTGGAGACGGGCCTGTCACCAGTGTCAGCCCAAAAGGGTCAAGTCTGAGTTGGTGGCGAGGCGGGAGCACAAGTGGAGGGGTCAGGGCCAGGATGGGCGACCCAACCTGGGGTACCAAGGAAAGTCTCCCAAAAGAGATGAAAACTAATCTGATAACTGGAGGAGCTGGAGGAATTGGCACAGGACAGGAAAAAGGAACAGCTTAGGCAGTGATCATTTGCTCAACAAACATTTTCCAAACCCCTAATCTCACCAGCCCCGCGGGGAGATGCTGAACACACAGCTGTCCCTGAGACATCCCCTGTGCCTGTCCTCCCAGTCCAATGGGGAGGCAGGTTTGTCATCAGAGAGGGTGATGAAGGAGGCCCAAGGGACCCTGAGAGCCTCAAGGAATGCCTGACACAGGCTGGGCAGTCAAGGCAGGATTCCCGGAGGAGGAAACTGTCAACTGAGACCTAAGACTGAGTAGGAGCTCAGTGGAGGGTAGAAGCAACAGTGTACGCAAAGGTTCAGGAAACCTGAAGCTTTGGAATAACTGATTTTCACCAAAACTTAAGATTTTAATCTTGAGTCAAGATCATGTCCATCCCAGCATGTCGGCGGGGGGAGGGGGGGGGGGGGAATGGTTAAGGGGCAGAAAGAAAGGAGACAGGGGCAGAGAGAGGGGGAGATAGAAGGGCAAGGGGCAGGAAGGGGGACTTGGGGGGGGCAGGGGGAAGGGCTGCAGGTGTCCATGTCATCTGTGGGCGCCAGGCCATCATCCCCGGGCTCATTGTTGCCCTCCCACAGGTTAAGGAGCTGGGCGTGGTCATGTACAACTGCAGTTGCCTAGCTCGAGACCTGACCAAGATCTTCGAGGCCTACTGGTACCTGGGCCAGGCGGGCAGCTCCATCCCGTCAACCTGGCCCCGGCCTTATGACACCCGCTACAATCAAGAGACACCAATGGAAATCTGCCTCAACGGAACCCCTGCTCTGGCCTACCTGGCAGTGAGTCCGAGGGAAGAGGGGCCTGTCACACCCCGGCCACATCCCTTCTCTCGGCCCCCATCAAGCCCTGCCTAGTGACTTGGTAGGGATGGGGGTTCCTGACCACTGGCTGCCACTTCTGCTCACTCGGGGCCTGGGCTGTGTCCCAACCTCCCTAGGCCTTGGTTTCACATAGAAAATAAGTATTGCAACATTTACCACCTCTTAGGGCTAGTGAGAGGCACGGCTGGGTCCATGCAGGCCGAGCCCTGGATGACCTGTCCAGTATAGCTGCATGTCGCATTTTTAATCAATTAAAATGAACTACAGTTAAAAACTCAGTTCCTCAGTCACCCTAGCCACATTTCAAGTGCTTAACAGCCACACATAGCAAGCAGTTGCCATACGGGACAGTGCAGATAGAGAACATTTCCATCAATGTGGAAAGTTCTATGGGACAGCACCCACTATTGCCCTTGGCACTCTGGACAAGGCACCGCTGTTTTTAGCTGTTGGTATTTTCACTAGTTGGGGTGGCCAACCTGGGTCCCCCCGAGCAAGTCACCTGGCCAAGCCCAGTGTCATCCTGGAGGGCCCACACTAAGGCATGGATGGAGGGACGCGATTCATTGGGGTCCTTTGCTCCTGTGACCTCCCACGGGACATTAATGGTTCCCCCGTTACCACTACCCCTTTCAGAGCTCGAGTTTGCTCACCTGTTGTGAGGATGGAGAGAGCTGGGTGAAGGGCCTGGTGTGGCTGGGCACATGAGGAGTGCCATCAGGCTGGACTGTAAGTCAGGGACAAAAGTGATTAGAGCAGAGGTCCTCAAACTTGAGCATGCATTAGAATCACCAGAAGGGCTTGTGGAAAGCCAGATTCCTGGGCTCCACCCCAGCACCTTGGTTCTGTGTGCCATGGGCAGTGAGGCCCAAGAACTTGCATTTCTAACAAGTTTCCAGGTGATGCTGTTGCTGCCTGACCAGGGACCTCATGTTGAGAACCACTGGGTTAGAGCATAAGTTCTGGAACCAGACAGCCTAGGTTCAAACCCTGGCTCCATTTATCAGCTGTGTGACCTTAGGCAAATCACTTACCCTCTCTGAGCCTCCGTTTGCTCACCTGCAAAAAAAGACGTGGTAATTATCCCTCTCCTTCATGGAGGCTGAGCATTAGTGAGACCCGCAGGACCTGGCTCGTGACAAGCTCTCTGTAGCAGGGGTCCACTGTGAAGGACATGTGTCTTGACTGTCCCCTCATCCCCCAGAGTGCACCCCCACCACTGTGTCCAAGTGGCCGCACCCCAGACTTGAAAGCCCTGCTCAACGCGGTGGACAATGCCCGGAGTTTCATCTACATCGCGATCATGAACTACCTGCCCACCATGGAGTTCTCCCACCCGCACAGGTACCGCTGGGCGCGTGGACAGGGGTTAGGGTAGGGATCCACCGTGAGTGGAAGAGGAGACAGGAGAGAGAGCGATGGGGCCCAGAAAGCAGTCACGGGGCCAAGACCAAGGGACAGAGGGAGGGGATGCCATGGGGAGAGACAGAGGTGACAGGGAGAGTGGGTCTGGATGGTCAAGACAAGGAGAAGGGGACAGAGAAGAGGATGAGAATATTCGGGGGGTGGTGTGGAGACGGGGGACTGGAGGCTTAAGGCAGAGGATGCAGGATGTGGGATTTCTGCAGGTAGGAGGCAGGGAGTGTGGGCTGGATATGGGATGACGGGCTTGGGAGGTAGGACTAAGCGTATTCAGGTTTGGGGCAGCAGGGTTGGGGTTTGAGATCTGGGATAGGAAGTGGCGATGACTGGACTCTGGGGGCTCAGAGCAGGTAGTCTGGGGGCAGCAGACAAGACAATGAGAAGATTGGTGGGGGGAGCAGGGCTTGGAGCTAGAGATGGGGTGGGGGCTTGGGGCTTCTCAGAAGCTGCAGCGGGCCCCAGGCCTGGCTCCCTAAAGCTGAAGTGAGGCCTCCCTCCGCATCCTGCACCCCCCCTCCCCAAGGTTCTGGCCTGCCATTGACGACGGGCTGCGGCGGGCTGCCTATGAGCGGGGCGTCAAGGTGCGCCTGCTGGTCAGCTGCTGGGGGCACTCTGAGCCATCCATGCGGGCCTTCCTGCTCTCCTTGGCTGCCCTGCGTGACAACCACACCCACTTTGACATCCAGGTGGTAAGCAACACTACCCCAGACCTACCCATCAGCCCCTATGCGGGGCAGTACCGGGGACACAGCAATCGTGGAGCTCACCTGTCACCTGACAGGGACGACCCACAGTGGGCTGTGCCCTGATTGGCCAGAATCAAGGGCACGGGCAGAGGGGTTAGGGCTGGGATGGGGAAGCCCAGCAGAAGCTCCTGCCGCAGCCTGAGGGGTCGTGGAAGACTTTCTGGAAAAGGGGACATCTGAGGTAAGACCTAAGGGATGAATAGGAGTCATTCTAGAGGGGTCAGGCGGCCTATGAGGCGACAGGGTCCTCCCTTTCAGCCGGCATTTACCGAGTACCCATGCTGGCCCCCAGGCCCGCGAGGGAAGCAGCTGAGTCCCCAGTCCTGCAGACCTGGTGCCACTCCCCACCCCAGACCCTGGGGCTTCTCTAACCCAACCCCGCATCTCCCCTCCCTCTCAGAAACTCTTTGTGGTCCCTGCGGACGAGGCCCAGGCCCGAGTCCCTTACACCCGCGTCAACCACAACAAGTACATGGTGACTGAACGTGCCACCTACATCGGTGAGTGTCCTGGGCGCCGCTGGGGCGGGGGGACGGAAGGGGGTCCAGGCAGCACCACGGGCCCTGACTCTCTGGACCCCCGCTCCCTGTAGGAACCTCCAACTGGTCCGGCAGCTACTTCACCGAGACAGCGGGCACCTCGCTGCTGGTGACGCAGAACGGGCGGGGCGGGCTGCGGAGCCAGCTGGAGGCCGTTTTCCTGAGGGACTGGGACTCCCCTTACAGCCATGACCTTGACACCTCAGCCGACAGCGTGGGCAACGCCTGTCGCCTGCTCTGAGGCCCGGTCCAGTGGACAGGCCAGGCCTGCGAGGGCCCCGCGGGCGCGGGTGTTCCGGGTCTCAATCCCTGTCCCCGTGCCCCCGCTTCTGTCTGCCCCATCGTGGCTCCCACAGGCTCCCCCCTTGCTCTCCCGCTTCTACCTCCACCCCCGCCAGCCTGATGCTGTGGCCGCAGAGGACCCAGCCAAGCTGGGGGAGGGATCAGCCCCCGAAGAAGTAGGGGTGCATGCTGGGCCTGGCCCCCTGGCCCACCCCACTTTCCAGGGCAAAGGGGGCCTGAGGTCATAATAAGAAGTAAATAACTTGTGTGTACAGCCTGTGCCTGACTGAGTGGTGTGAGGTGGGGTGCCGGGTAGGGGACAGCTGGCATGGGCCTCTGGTGGGGACACCTTCACGCATGCTGAGCCCTCAGTGGGTGACCCTCAGTGGGTGGTTTGGTGTGTACTGGACGCTCAGCACATGGCTGGCGTGTGCTGAGCCCTCAGTGGGTGACCAGCGTGGGCTGGCGTGTGCTGAGCCGTCGGCGCACAATGCACGTGAGCTAGCGTGTGCTGAGCAGGCGCGTGTGACCTTGAGGGCTGGCATGAACCGAGCCTCACGGAGCCAGCATGGCACAGCGTGTGCTGCACGCTCGGCACGTCCCCAGCCAGATGAGCGCGTGCTGAGCCACTGCCATAGCCCGAGGGTGGACTCGCACGTCTGGACACGAGAGCATGTACCAAGCGTGAATTTACATACACCTGCTGAGTGAACTTACACTTCGCATGTCCCAAGCATGGATGAGTGCATGCCAAGCCTGTCACGTGTGGCAAAGACAGGTCAACAGACGCTGAGAACCTGGCATCTGGCAAGCTCAGATTGGCACCTGCTGAGCACTGAGAATGTTCTGAGGGTGGATTCTTACGTGCCAGGCACTGAGCATATTTAAGGGATGGGTCAGTGTGCCAAGCACAGCCTCCAGCCTGAGCCAATGGCTGACTGGGTGCAGCATTAGAGAGCAGGGCCTGGGTGCCCCCCTGAACCCCACCCCCGTGCCAGTCCAGGCCTCAGGCAGGGAGGACAGGCATGAGGCAGTACTGCTGAACAATGCTTTATTGAAATAAACAGAGGCAGCAGGGCCAGTGGGGTGAGCCCCCTTCCTGCGTCCCTCTGGCCGAGGGGGCCACGGGCCAGACCCCAAAACCCTCCTGTGTTCGGGGTGTGTGGGCAGGCATGCACCGTGAGCGGGGTGGGGGGAATGGGGTATTTCTGGATAATTATCTTTCTGTAAGGATAATTTGTCGGTTCAGGGGATAGCTCTGAGGAGGGGATGCCAGCCCCGCTAGCGCATCACCCAGTGATGGGCAGGGGTGGAGTCACCATCAGTGGTGCCCACCGACGTGCTGCACAAAGCTGGTGGCCCGGGGTGGACCATGCGGGTGGGTGTGGCGTGGTGGGAGCCCCTGAGCCCGTGGCCCCCCGACGCCCTCCAGGGTCCAGTCTGGCTGACCCAGCCATTCCCCAGGACAGCTGCTGAGGTCGAAGAACTCAGGGCCTGGCCTCTGTTGGGGAGAAGAGATGGGCATCAGCCAGGAAGCGCCCCCCACCCCACCCCGAACAACCACGCTGCCCCTCATGGACTCCTTCTGATCCCAGCTGCATCCTTGTCAATTCCTGAGGACGATTTTGTACATCCTGAACCCTCATCCCATTTTGGAGGCTTAAATGCTGTGTGTTGAGACCTTAATGTGTCCTGAAGGTGTGTTTGCTGAGGCTCTGTCACATCTTCCTGGGGTGGGGGGGCTGAGCGGTCCCATGGCCTCTATCACTTCCCGTATGTGGATTACTGTGTTCTGAGTTTTTACACAGCCTTAATATGGGTTAGTGTTTGCTGAGTTTCATCGCATCCTACGGGTATATTAGTGTTTGCTGAGCCTTGTCACATCCTGAGGGTGGGCTAGTAGTGTGTGTTGGATCCTAAGCCAGCTGCGGGCCATGCAAATGTACGGGAGGCAAAGTTGGTTCACTATGCCCCGATCCTAGAGCTCTGAGGAGGCCCTGATCCCAGAACCACCTGCATCCTAGCTGCCCCCTGGGTCACCTCAGCATCCACGGTCATGTCCTTGATGTCCGGCCCATCCCTGTCCCACTGCGGGATGGCAGGCAGCTCCGCAGAGGCCCCTCGCCGCTCTCCTTCCGCGCAGCCGCCGCCCCTGCACGGGGCGTCTTCCTCGGGCGAGGCCTGGCTCAGCCGGATGAGGTTGCTGAAGTTGGACTTGGAGCCTGTGGGTGGCTTGCGGGCCTTGTGGTGGCCTGCCAGGCGGCTGCCGTAGAAGGCCAGGATGGGCTCGGGGCCGGACTCGGGCACCCAGCGGCCGGCAGCAGCGGCCTTGAGCGGGGCCAGCACGTCGGGGACGACGTCGGTGCGGGTCTCGCCCCACAGCCCACTCCCCGCCTCTTGCAGACTCAAGTCGTCCAGCTGATCGATGGCCTTTTGCACGACCGGTGCCTTCTCCTCCCGGAACAAAGGCCCGCTGCCCAGACCCACGGTCTCCTCCTCCTCGGCCAGACCGTAGTAGGGGGGCCTGTCTTCCGCGGCATCCACGACAGACATAGGCGTCTTGCCCTCCACCTGCAGGGAGAGGCGGCAGCTGTGCAGCGAGAGCTGGTAGTAGCGGGTGGTCTCATGGGCGCTGCGCAGCTGCTGCATGGACACGAAGGGGTGGCGCAGGGCGGCGCTGGGGCTGATGCGTTCGTGCGACTCCCACGTCAGCATGCGTTTGATCAGCTCCACCATGCTCTTGAGGTCGGCGTGCTCTGCCAGCGCCTCGCGGTCGGGGAAGGTCAGCCGACGGACTGCCCTGCCGCCATTCACCACCTCTATCTGGTCCAGTGACTTGAGCATGTACTTGCGGCGCTCCAGTGGGCGCACCTGGTGGGACGCAGGGTGGGGCAGGGGTTGACATCGAGTCCAGGACTTGGGCCCCAGGTACTTCTGCGGTGGAGCCCACATGTGACCCCCCCAGCGTCCATTGGGCCCTCCAGCCTGGCCCAGAGCTCTCTCGTGGCTATGAAGTCCACCCACAGGAACCTGGACTTCCAGTTCTGCCCATGATCTGACTTGGAGCTCCCTTGCATCTGGGGGGGCCACACCTGCTCACTAACACCAGAACCCCTCTAGTCTAATCCAGACCCCTCCTACTGCTGCAGGAAGGACAGCTGACTGTGATCTCTGGTCCTCCTCTTGTCTAACCCAGGGGTCTCACTGACCCAAGTTTCACACCTTGCCCCAGCCCTCCAGTCCTCCCTCGAGCCATGGGTCCAGCCCCTACCAGCAGCTAGCAGAAGGGCTGCCCTAAACCTCTACTGCTCCTTGGAATCAAATCCAGATCCCTCTTGCTGCCACAGCTGATCCCCACATCTGATCCCAGCCCTCAGGCCTCCGAGGAGTCAAGCCCAGACAATTCTTGCCAAATTCTTTAACCACGACCAGCTCGGGAGTTATCAGAGGATCTGCCATATGCTTTCGGTCCCATCTTTGGTCTCGCTCAGACCCCTCTCTCGCTGTGACAGCTCCCACGGCTGGTCCACACTTCCAGTCCTTTCTGCTGTCTCAGCCAGACTCTTGCCACATAAGTCTGATGACCACAGTCACAGAGGTGGCAGACAGGCTGCCCTGACTTCCAGTCCCACCTGGGGTCTCCCTCGGATCCCTCTGGCTGTGACAACCCCCGCAGCTGGCCCTCAAGTTTCCAGTCCTCTCTGAGATCTAACCTAGATTTTTTTCTTGATACGGCAGCTGCCTCGCTGACGGCCCTCACCCCACCTGCCCCCCTACCTTGGTCTCAGCCAGGTAGTCGGCCGAGGACTTCAGCTGCCAGGGGTTGGTGGCGTCGGGGTGAGGGTTGCGCTTGAAGAAGTGGTGGGCCTTACAGGCGGCGTGCAGCACGTGGGGCTTGGGCAGGCCCTGGGTCTCACAGATGTAGCGCACCTGGTCGTACTCGTTGTTGCCTGGGTAGAGGGGCCAGCCCAGGTGCAGCTCAGCCATGACGCAGCCCAGGGACCACACGTCCACCTTCTCACAGAAGGGCAGCCCCAGCAGAATCTCGGGGGCCCGGTAGAAGCGAGACTGGATATACGGCCCCTTGACGTAGCGCACCTCGCTGAATATGCTGGCCGAGCCGAAGTCGATCACCTGAGTGGAGGGAGGGAGGCAAGTGGGCCGGGACAGCCGATCGATCTGAGCCTCCCCGGCCTCTCTTGCCAGTGTCTTTCTGCATCTGCCATCTGACTGTCGCTACATCTGTGAATCTTGATCTCTTGTTTACGTCCCTATCTGTCTCCTCCAGCCTTTGTCTCTGGTTTGCATACTCGTCTCTCTGTCTCTGTTTGTCTCCACTAGAACTTACGTCCATGAGGGTTGAGACCTGTCTCTTTCTCTCTCACCCCATGCCTTGTCCATCAGCAAATCTTGCTGGCTGGGTAGAGGGGCCAGCCCAGGTGCAGCTCAGCCATGACGCAGCCCAGGGACCACACGTCCACCTTCTCAAAGAAGGGCAGCCCCAGCAGAACACCTTCTGTTCTGCCCACTCTGCATCCCAGCCACAGCCCCACCCTAGTCCTGTCCTCCCCCTGGCTAGACTAATGTAAGGGCCTCCTTGCTGGTCTCCCTGTTCCTCCCTCTCCCTCCAGTCTGCTTCTCACATGCAGCCCGAGGGACCCTGTGACCACCTAAGTCAGATCACGTCCCTCTCCTGCTCAGAATCTTCCTGTGGCTTTACCACATCCTGTGATAAAAGCCAAAGTCTTCACCCTGGCCCACAAGGCTCCAACAATCTGCCCGGTCCCCTCTCTGCCCGCACCTCCTCCCACCTTCCCCCTCACTCACCCAGCTGCAACCACACCAGCCTCTCGCTATTCCTTGAACAAGCCGGACACATTCCCAGTTCAGGGCCTTGGCACTGGCTGTTCCCTCTGCCTGGAATGCTCTTCCTCCGGATGTCCACATGGCTCCTCTCTCTCACCTCAAGTCTTTACTCAAATGTCACCTTCTCAGGGAGGGCTCTGCTGACCACACTATTAAAAACAGCACACCCCTCCCTTCCTATCCACCTCCCTAGCCCTCTGCTTTTCTCCATAGCTCTTAACACCATTTCACGTACTACATATTTTTACTTTTGTATGGAGTTCATTGTCTCTCTACCCAACTAGGATATCAGTCCCACAAGGGCAGGGATTTTGTCTGTTCACTGCTGCATCCCTAAATCCCTAGAACAGTGCCTGGCACGCAGTAGGGGCTCAGTAAAGAGTGAATGAATGAATGAATGAATGGGCTTTTTGTTCCTGTCATTCTCTTTCTTTCTGACTCTTGTTGGTATCTCTCTCTTTTCTTTCTTTGCCTCTTCGTCACTTGTCTGTGTCCCTCAACTCTCAGTGTGTCTCTCTGTCCCCATCTCTGGGTCGTCCAACTAGAAGGACACCTCCCTGACACCCAGGTCCTCTTCTGTCTTCACCATCAAGCATTGTTAACACCCCACACGGGCCCCTGGTTCATACAGGTGCTTGATGAACACCTGTTGAACTAACATCGTGAACAACTGAAAGCCCTTGTCTCTCCCGATGCCTCTGGGGCGATCTGCCATTTTTCACTCTGAATCTCTGTGACTCTCTTAGTCCCTCCCTCAGTTTCCCTCCCTGAGTTTCTCTGCTTTTCATTCAGCTATCCCTCACCTTCTATTTGCAGAAGGCAGTATGACGAAATGGTTATTAACCTGGACTCTGAACACAGATGGCTGAGGCCTGAATCCCAGAGAGCTTGACTGACCCTGATCATTCAGTCAACATTCGTGGGATTCATTCATTCACTCCACAGATGAGGTAGGGGTGCCAACACTGGCCAGGTGTTGTAGCTCTGTCCTGTCTGTCTCCTGCTATGTTTGTGGAAAACCTTCCTTCCTTGGGTCTCTAACCCTCCATCTGTTGGGACAGAATGATCTGCCTTTTCCTGTCTCTGTATCTCCCTGTGTCTCTGACATTCATTGAGCACTGACTCCATGAAGGCGCTGTGCTGGGAGATGCCGGGGACACGGTGGTGACCAAAATGCCCCTAGCTCCGCCCTCACGATGCTCCTAGTTCAGAACCATCACCAGACAGAAACAAACCCATAAGCAGACAGAAGGGTCAGAGCCGGGGTGGGGGAATCCAGGGACCTGTGACAGCGCAGAGGAGGTGCCTGTGTGCCCAGCACAGGGTCAGGCCCAGAGCGGGCATTCGGAAAATGTTTGCTGGTGAACAAACTCATGATGAAGGATGCTGATGCCATCCTTCCAGTCGCTCAGGCCAACAGGCTTTCATCCTCCCTCAAGCCCTCTCTTCCTCTCTCACACTTCACATAAGATTTACCAGCAAGTCCTGTTTTAAAATCTACCCTGAGGGAATCCCCTGGCGGTCCAGTGGTTAGGACTCAGCACTTTCACTGCCGGGGCCAAGGTTCAATCTCTGGTCAGGGAACTAAGATCCCGCAAGCCTCGCCTTGTGGCCAAAAAAAAAAAGAAAAAAAAAAAGATCTCCCCCAAACCCACCCCCATCCCCGACCTGGACTGGGGCGGTCTCCGCGCACTGTCTTCCTGCTCCTGTCCCCTCAGTCTTTCCCCCCACTGCAGCCAGAGGGAGCCTGTGAACACCTGCGTCCAATCACAGCCCTCCTCTGCCCAGGATCCTCCTATGGCTCCACCTTATACAGAATAAAGCCCAAGTCCCCTCTGTGGCCCACAAGGCCCTGTACGACCAGGTCCCATCACCTTCCTGATCTTATTTCCTCCCTCTTCCCCTCAGTCACTCCGTTTCAGCCACACTGGCTTCCTCAGTGCTCCTCAAATACATATACTTGGTCCACTCCTACCTCAGGGCCTTTGCACTGATTCTTTCTCCCAGATGTCGACACAGCTCCCTCCCTCCTTCATGACTTCTCTCAAATGTGACCTTCTCAGGGAGGCCTCCCTGACCACAGAGTCTAAAGTTTTACTCATCACCACCCCACCTCCTCCTCCTCCCTACTTTATCTTGTCTCCTTCTCACTCATATACCATTTTTTTTTTTTTTTTTTGCGGTACGCGGGCCTCTCACTGTTGTGGCCTCTCCCATTGCGGAGCACAGGCTCCGGGCGCACAGGCTCAGCGGCCATGGCTCACGGGCCTAGATGCTCTGCGGCATGTGGGATCTTCCCGGACCGGGACACGAACCCATGTCCCCTGCATCGGCAGGCAGACTGTCAACCACTGCACCAGGGAAGCCCTACCATATTTTACTCGTTTACCTTGGCGACTCTATCTCCTCAACTAGAATGTCAGCCCCACAGGGACAGGACTGGGCCAGAGGAGCTGAGCTAAGAATTGAACAAGGAAGGGGGGACCTCAGGGCTGAGCGGGAGAGGATGTCAGAATTGGGGTGGGGAGACGGGGATTTCAGAGCCAGGAGGTGGGGAGAGCCATCATGGCCAGGGAGGGAGAGACCTCAGGGTTGGGAGGTGGGACAAGGGGAACCTCAGCCTCAGGAGAGCGTCCAGGGCTGGATGGCCACGCTCACCTTGACCCTGAAGGGGCAGCGAGTCTGGTCCACCAGCATGATGTTCTCAGGCTTGAGGTCGGCGTGGATGATGGCTAGCTCCTTGAGCCGGGCCAGGGCTCTGAGCACCTGCAGGGTGACCGTGCGGATGTGGCGGGCAGGGAGGGGCTCAAAGTTGTTCTCCTTCTGGAATTCGAAAAGGTTTTGCTCCAGCAGTTCAAAGACCAGGTAGAACTTGAGGGCGTCGTGGAAGAACTCGAGGAAGCGGATGACGTGGGCCTCCTCCGGGTCCAGGCCCCTCATGCAACGCAGCAGCTTCAGCTCGTTCTTGATGATACGGTTGCGGTAAGCATCATTCTTCAGGATCTTGATGGCCACCATCTCGCCCGTGCTTCGCCGCCAGCCCTTGGCCACCTCCCCGAAGGTGCCCTTGCCCAGCACCTCGATGATGTCATAGCAGTCAGTCTCCGACTGGATGGTGGCCATGGTTCCTCTGCCACCAGACACTGCCCTGCCGCCACCTCCGCCCCACGGGCTCTGCTTCCGAGGCCTCCTGCCCCAACACTGGCCCCGAGGCCTCCCCAGTGGGGGAAAGAGAACCGCACTCGTGCCTCGCCCTGCGAGGTTCACCCCCACCTCCCTGACAACCCCCAGACACCTGGGCCACAGAGCAAGTCTGCCAGGGGGTGCACCCCTACCCCGAAGACCTCCTGGCTTGGGATGAGGGGCCCCAAGCCCCCCTGAATGGGTTCCAGCGTTGCTAAGTGGCTCTGGTTCTGTTGTTGGAGACCTGAGCCCCTGGCTGGAATGGGGGGGTGGGATGGCAGGTAATGCCCCCTCCCCCGTCCAGTGGCGGAACCCTAGAGGGGCTGGACAGGAGAAGGGTCGACGGAGAGGGGAGTCTGATCGTGGGCCTCAGGCATAGAGGAATGGGACATTCCTAAACAGAGGTGAGGAACGGCAGGCTTCCCGAGCTAGGGGATTTGTGTGTGCGTCTGTGTTCAGAAAACAGCTGCCCCTGCCTGTGGCTGCCCTGGGGAGGCGTGGCTACAGGGGGGCCATGTTGCAAAGGGTCTTGAATGCCAGGCTAAGGAGTCTGGACTTTGTCCTGAGGGAACTGGGGAGCCACGGAAGGACTTTGAACAAGGAAGGGCAGGTTCAGATATTTATTTATTTATTTATTTAAATTTTAGCTGCGCCACGCGGCTTGCAGTTTCTCAGTTCCCCGACCAGGGATCGAACCCGGGCCACAGCAGTGACAGAGCCGAATCCTAACCATTAGGCCACCAGGAAACTCCCCAGGGTCAGATCTGAGTATCAGAAAGCTACTGTGTGAAGAAGAGTGGATTGGAGGGGGCAAGAGTGGAGGGCCCCAGCCTGCAGCAGGGCCCAGGTGGGAAGGTTGGGGAGGCGGGGGAAGAGGCA